GCCTCGAGGCTTCGGGTATCATTAAAGTAGCCCTAAATGGATAATATGGCATTTCGAAGAGCAAGCAATGAAGCGTTCATGCCACTTCGTCATTGCTGTCTTCCCGAGAGGACCCTTGAGGGACCGCCTGGGGTGTCGTCTGTTTTCTCAAAATTTGATCAACTGCAGATCCAAGGCCACGGCAAAGCCCAGACCAGGACTTGTGTTTTGAGAAGATTTGGCTCACCTCGGCGAGCAGACGCAAAGAGCTTTCCTTGCCCGTCAGATGGCCGATCCCAATCAGATTGAGCTGAGCATTGGGGCCTTCAGCAATCCAAATGTGAATTTCCCTAGTGTCTAACAAGCGAACCTCCTTACCTGAAGCTTGTGGCTTTTCGATTTCAGGAGCGACCACGAGCGTATCGAATGCCCATATATAGAAGAAAGCAATCAGGAAACAGAGAGGATCATGACAGGCAAATTTCTGCTTAGCTTTCAATGTGCTGAAAACACATACAGCATGCCACAGACACTTCCTGGCGCTTGATGCATTCTTTCCCATCCAATCTTTCAGCTGACCTGTTGACGTATCAACTTCAGCGTCCTCGCCATGCCACCCTGAAAATAATTCGAGTACGTGGAGCGATACTAGTCGGAGAAGGGACAGTACATGATGAATGACATCTCGAGCGGCAATATAGTCAGGTTTAGCTGAGGTGGGAATGGCCACGAATACTTCGTCCATCGACCGAAACATCATTGCGCGCAGTACTGAAGGGGTTGATGTAAAATGGGCCCATTGCTCCTGAACTGGCATGCCAGTCACTTGAGAACTTAGACTCGATTTCCAGATGGACGAATAAGACATTTTTTCAAGGAACAATCGCTCCTCGCTGTAAAGAGACAGCATGTAGAGATTACGGCGATAAGCATCCATTCCTGCCATGGTTTCACTGGCTTTTCTAACATCAATTTGAGTGGGCGGAGATGGTGATAAATCTAATTGTTACGGTCAATCCCTGAGATATCTGATGGCAACAGATACATTGGCTCACCTTGATCAGATTGGTATACATGAACAAACTTGTCAGCATTCCTGCGACACCATAGTGATTGACGACAAGGGAACTCCTCGGGAAGTTCATGCTGCCCAAATATTGGCTGCCGATCGAACAAGACGAGCTGAAGACATTCAAGTTCTATTAAAAGATTAGTCAGGCTTTTATGGCTTGTCGCAGGTAGCACACACGGAAGATACAATGAATTAGCCGTATACGAGATTCTCTTGCCAGCCAGGCTCTCCAGTGTTTTGGACCTTGTGACGCTTTTGTTTTCATGCATGGATCAAACTTCAAGATACGAGCCAAAGTGACAAGTACATTTCGCTCATATTGTAACTTCAACTGGGCTTTATGCGACCCGCCAAACATTAGGCAGGCATCACTAAGAAATACGCTTTGCGCATAGGATAAAGATGTTGATTCGGGTGATTGAGGTCGCTAATATGATTAATATCAGGTACAAGTCTTCACCGGGAGATGAACTTACGTTTTGAGCTATTGCATGAGACAGGATCTCCCCGAAAGATGCCGAAAATTGACTGGCATTGCCGAAAGCGCTATATTGACTCCCAACAGTGGCCACTGCTAACAGTACCATCCATGAAGTTTTGTCATGCCCGAATTCTAGAGCATATGGGTGAATCACAGGGTACTCATGGTCAAAGTGTTCAAAATACAAGTGCACAAAGTCTTGGATAACCCTCCACCATGGAAATGTCCCATCTTCTGTTTCCCCCAAGCTCACAAGATATAACTTAAGTGATTCGTATATTGAGGCATTTGTCACCACGTTGTAACAGGATTCAGGCAACAAAAAGCGCTCATCCGAACGCCGCATTTTGGGAAGGGATGATTTCAACTGGCGGATTGGCTTAGAAGTGCTGGCTGCACCAGGCGCAGCAGAGGCAGTACGAGCAGAAAGGGCAGCAGGGGGACGTGTACGAGCACCCGAAGCTGGGACGCGCGGACGAGGAGCCCGGGCACGTGCAGTATTAGCAGGCGGTCTTGTTTGAGATGTTGGGTCATTCTCATCATTTTCTGAACCGTCTGATATTTCCATAACGTCATGCGAGACATTGATCTGATGCTGTGTAGTAAGATTTGAAGCAGGCAAGGCCAGACCAGGAGTACTTTGGTTTGTTTCATCTTCATTCAATGGGAAAGGCGATGTACGTATGTTTGATGAGATGGAGCTTGGTTCTTGAATATTCTGAGATACAAGACTCGTCTGTTCCGACGGCTCTGTTTTTATATCTTTTCCATCATGATGTTTTCTCATATGAGCCGCAAGCCTATGTCTTTGCACGAATATCAGAATTGGAACGATAATTGTGTCTGCAGTGCAGAGCAGAGACTCTATGGCATACCTTCGAGTATAGGACTTTGGACAAAAGCGGCATTTAAACTCCTTCGACCCGGCGTGTCCTCGGTCATAGCATTGCTGCGTCAGCGGTGTGCCGCACTGCTCACAAGTAAGGTGGAGTTGCGGGCGAGCATGAGTTAGGATATGGCGTTTCAGATGGTGTTTACGCCCGAATACCTTGTCGCATTGGTCGCATGGGTAAGACTCTTGCAAGGAGCTCATGGCTTCTTCCCACTTTGAAACACTAATTCAAATGCAAAGAATCAATGCAAACTGCAATTAACAGTCTACAATGAGGACTGTGGCCATAAATTCACAGAATATCCATACAATGTGATGCCAATTCGCGTTTCGCGCTGACGCAAGAGCGGTCGCCAAAGCGGTAAGACACAGAGGATAATCTGCCGCGGGGTGGTGGATTTCTAAGCGGGGAGGTAAGAAAAAAGATCGAGGGCATTTCAAATTGCCTTCACAACCTGCTTTTTGCTTCAATATTGCTTTAAGGACAGATCATATCAAGAGTGACCTTTTAATCAATCACTCCTTTCAGCATCATATCTTTCATATCCCACGTACCCACGAAAGAAAAAAAAATCAAAAAATGTCTTCAAACGACCCGCATCACGAGAACGGAGCGGAGGAGTATATGCAGGCTGACGATGCCGAAGAGATCTTTGATCGTGATGAGGACCATCACATGTCAGAGGGAGAAGATGAAGAATATGCTGACGAGAATATGACTATCGAAGATGAGATCACCTTCCAAAACGACTCAGCAGCACACTTCGACTCGCACTCGGACTCTGTATTCTGTGTTGCGCAGCACCCGGTTCACAACAATATTGTCATGACCGGTTCTGGCGATGATACAGCCTACATCTTTGACTCGACCCCAGCGCCGCGTCCTGTACTCCCATCGAGCTACGAATCAAACCCCCAGCCAAGGGAGCGCGAGTCTCTCTTGCCTCTGGCCAAGCTTGATGGGCACACTGACACAGTGAATGCCGTGGTTTTCACCGAACCGGCAGGAGAGTATGCCATTACGGCAGGTCTGGATGGCAAACTTCGAGCTTATCGGGATACCACACCCCAGAAAACCGGACTCTCGTGGGAGTTCTTTGGCGAAATCCAGGAAGTGGAAGAGATCAATTGGATGGCCGTGTGCCCCTACCAGCAGGGAAATGACGGAACACAAAACGTCATTGCCATCGGTTCCAATGACGGCAGCGCGTGGGTCTTCCGTATCGACCATACCGACCCCGGCCAGCCTATCTCCATCATCCAGACCTTCTTCTCACACACCGAATCATGCACTGCAGGTGCATGGACGCCTGATGGTAATCTCCTGGCTACTGTTTCTGAGGATGCCAGCTTCTTTGTTTACGACGTCTTCGGAGCTGCCGCCGCTGCGGGCATTGAGTACTCTCCAGGTACCAATGCAATCCTCGGATTGAATGCGGAAGATCAGCGCTTTGCCGTGGAGGGTGGTCTTTACACCATCGCCATTTCCCCTAGCGGTGGAATTGCTGCAGTGGGTGGTGCTGAGGGCAACATCAGAGTCGTCGGCCTTCCTCGAGTCGCAGCAAGTGCCCCTGCAGCCAAGGGCAAGGGCAAAAATGCACCCTCCCAGGCAGCCGGTTCCACCGCTACAGGCACTATCATGGCCGCATTGCAAACTCAGACGGACAACATTGAGTCACTCTCGTTCTCCCAGGCTCCGTTCACCCTTCTTGCTGCCGGGTCTGTGGATGGTTCGATTGTGATGTACGATGCGGCTCATCGATTCGCAGTCCGTCGGCACATTAGAGATGCCCACGAGGGAAGCGCAGTTGTCAAGGTTGAGTTCCTGCCTAGTAGCAAGCAACTCGGTGCAACCATCTCAGGGCCCCTTGCCAATGCTTCTGCAGCACACCAGAACCGCTCTTGGATGCTTACATCTGTTGGTTTGGATGGTGTGGTCCGACGATGGGATGCACGCGGTGGTACTGCCGCGGCTTCTCAGGGATTGATGCAGGAGTGGAAAGGACACATGGGTGCCACGGAAAATGACGAGGGCGAACAGGCCGGTGGCATTATGGGCTTTGTACAGAGCTTGGATGGAAAACGTATTGTCACTGCCGGTGATGATGGTATCTCGCTCGTATTCGAGGAGTAATCTGCGTGAACAAAAGTTGGAGTCCCAAACATACATAGTGGAGGCTCATGTTGATAATGATATTACGTGTTTATAGAAGCTCAAAGTTAAACCACCTTGATAACCAACCCCAAACATACAATGGCAAAGCCTCTGTAGGTTTGATGATCGAACAATAAAAGAAACATCTGGTTGTAGTAGTGGAATAAAAGCTATGTACATTCGACAAATCAAACCCAAAGCGCCACCTGGAAGCTACGCTCTTTATGAGCCACGAGAAGCTGCATATCCACCCTGACACGACAAAAGCTCCGGGACTCGGCAAGGCTATAGGCGCTTTGATCCAAAATCCCGGCCGTGGTTCTTGCGGAGGCGAGACGACTCTTGTCGCCTAGGGTATACGTCCTCCGCTCGATAATCCGTTGGTCGGCGGCATTCTCAATTGGTCTCCAGAGACAACCGTTTAGTGGTTACCGTCACCGTGATGAGCATCGCCGTGGTGGTGGTCGTCCTTTAAGAAGAAGTGCTCGTATGTGCAGTAGGCAGCGAAAGCAACAGACGCGATACCGAAGCCGGGGAAGAGGCCTCTGAAGCGCTTGGCTCTGCTGAAGGGGCCGCTGTAGCGCCAGGCCTCACTATTATATATTAGTGCCTACCACACTCGGTATCACATCGGTATAAGTTGACGTACTTGCGAGCCCATGGATCCCGCTTGGCCCAGACGGAAGACGGGGAAGCCGCGGCCTTGTAACTGGCGAGGTCGAAGCCGGTAGGGTTGCGGGCGGGCATTGTGGGAGTTATCCAGTGGTGGATCTTGATTAAAAGTGGAAATAAAGAGAAACAAGATTTAAAGAGCTGTAGCTTGGTCCCTTGGTCCGCAATCAACCGCAAAGTGACACAGTGAGGAGCCGAAGATGAGGAAAAGAGGTGTGCTTGGCAATTACCCGCGCTAACCGAATACGGTAGACCAAGTAGCTCTCCCGCCTTCGAGGGACGAAACTGTCACTTCATCCATGCGTATCCTCGAGACAACAAAATGCCACCTCCCGTTGGCAGATATGGGCCATCTGGCTTAAACCCTCCATACAACATACAACAAGCTCACCTTCAATCTCAACACCCCGCACACGCACAGTCTGGAAATACGCTCCCTCCCCCTTCGCTTGGTCATCCTGGATTCGCGGGCAATCCGAACACCAACATCAATCCCTTTACACTATCTAGCGGAATTTCAAATGGCATGGCGGTAGGCGGTTTTCCGGGAGCTGGCTCAGGTGATGGCGGTGGCACCGGTCTCGCTAGTCATGCGGCACAAATGGGATTTGCGCGCGGTGCGCAAATGCAACAGCAACAACTACACCAGGGTCACGACGGCCGGTTATCGCTCGAAGCAAAGGGAGGTGCAGTGAAATCAAGAATTAGAGATGTCTGGAAGCACAACCTGGCCCATGAGATGGCGGTGCTGAGGCAGCTGGTCGACAAGTACCCTTACATCAGCATGGTAAGCACCAACTACGGATGTCTCCGTGCAAATCGGAAGCCTCCTTTGAGTTACACTTACTGACTAAGACCTAGGACACCGAATTCCCTGGCATAGTTGCTCGGCCGATCGGGGCATTTTCAAACAAAGCCGATTACCATTATCAGACCCTTCGATGCAATGTCGATCTTCTGAAGATGATACAATTAGGCATCACTCTATTCAATGACGAAGGAGAGGTTCCCCCAGCCTCAGGCACCGACGCCAATGGGCAAGCGTATGGTGTGCCCGCTCCCTGCACATGGCAGTTCAACTTTCGATTTTCGCTCGAGGGAGACATGTACGCCCAGGAGTCAACAGCCATGCTTGCCAAATCTGGAATCGACTTTGCCATGCATGAAAAGAACGGTATTGATCCATTCGAGTTCGGGGCTCTTTTGATTAGCTCTGGATTGGTGCTACTAGATGACGTCCACTGGGTTTCTTTCCACTCCGGGTACGACTTTGGCTACTTGATGAAGATCATGCTCTGCTCCCAGCTTCCAGAAAACGAAGAGGAGTTCCACAAGCTTCTAACCATCTTCTTCCCGTCACTTTACGACATCAAGTACCTCATGAAGCACGCCGGTCGCAATCAAGCCGTCAACGGTTCTCCTCTTACTCAGGCTGCAGCACAGATCCTGACCAACCTTGGCCAGAAATCTGGGTTGCAAGACATTGCCGACGAACTCGGCGTCAAACGCGTTGGAATCGCCCACCAGGCTGGCTCGGACTCCCTAGTGACCGGCGAGATCTACTGGAAGACGCGCCAGCTCATTTTCGGAGGGGCAATTGACGACAGCAAATATTCTGGTCAAATCTGGGGCCTCAACGGACAAATGCCCGCAGTTGCCTACAGCATGGCCCAGCAAACGCCAAACCTCAATGGTGCTACCATTTACTCGGGGGGTACCCCCAGCACTCCCAATACTGGGTCTCAGGGAACTGGCGCCCACACACCTCAGCACCACGGAGCTGGCTACAATGCCCCGACTCCTGGAGCCTATCAAATGGGCCGGGTATGAGGCACATTCCTTGAAGAACCTGGGGCTGATATGATGTGATGTATGTACATAGACACGAGTACATCGTGTTCTTTTCCTTCGATATTCGGCATTGTCTTCGCGCCTATGGCTTTGTGTAGGCTTCGTTGCCTGTGCTGGGCTCTTGCGTCTAGACGACGGTGTTGGGCAGGAAGGTGCCTGGCGTTTGACATGGCTGGTTTTGAATCCATTTACGAGGCGTTGATAGGCTCCAATATGGCCTTGTGCCTTTCGTTCTTGTGATCTAGGGTGCTTTTTTTTTCCTTTCTTTCTTGTTTTAGCTAGATCGGACCTGTCTGTGTCCTAAACATAGGAATTCTAGCTTCTGTTCGCTCAGTTTAACCTTGTTTTGTAGATTCAAGAGCTCGTTTTGGCTTATCCTGGTGTGCTTCTCATCGTCTTGTGAGATTCTTTTGACAACTTTTCGGATGACGAGGTCCGCAGCTTCAGACTGTCGTTGATTGAGGTCAAGCGTGTGTTATCCATTTTTCTCATGCGGAACTCCCAGTTCTACCCCGCGATATGACAAACGACATGAATCACGCAGAGATCATATCAATTTCAACCTGCAGACAAGCATCTCTTTCCCTTTTTGGGGATGAAGACATCACGCTAAACCCAATCAGGCTAATGGATCCGGCCTCCGCAAATAGGCTTTATCTAATCGGATGGAGGTATACCTCCAGGGCTGGGGACATGAGATACTACTTGCTTGATAAATAATGGGCAACCCCAGATCTGAGGGAGAATCAAATCCACTTTGCCTTTGACTCTCTAGTGACTACTTCACTCAACTTCGCGGCTCAACCTCATCACCTCGAAATCATCTCCTACAGTACCTCTCTCGCACAGCATGGTTCTCGACCGACTACAGCAGTTGACTCGCCAGGTCAGCGCTACTGCACCACCGCCTTATCCACTTGATCCTCTTTCTACAGTGGAAATTGATGCAGTTGTTAGCATTGTCCGCAAAGAACATGGCTCGCTCAACTACAATGCGGTTACACTCTACGAGCCCCGTAAGGTCCAGATGATGGCCTGGGTGGCTGATCCGGAGAACGCTCCTCGTCCTGCCCGAGCTGCTGATATTGTTGCCATTGCACCTGGTGGCAAGATCTACGATGGTGTGGTTGACCTGGACCAGAAGAAGATCACCAAGTGGGAGCACACTCCGAATGTTCAGCCTCTGATCACCATGGAGGATCTGCAGGAAGTTGAACACGTTGTACGCAAAGATGCGAAAGTTGTCGAGCAATGTGGCGTTCTCGGAATTCCCAAGGAAGATATGCACAAAGTCTACTGTGACCGTAAGTAGAAGGACTTCACCCGTTAATCGAAGAATGTTACTGAACGAATGGCAATCTAGCGTGGACAATTGGATACGATGAGCGCTTTGGAACTGGTGTCCGTCTTCAGCAAGCCCTCATGTACTACCGCCCTCACCCCGACGACTCCCAGTACACCTATCCCTTGGACTTCTGTCCCATCTACAACGCCGAGACCAAGCAGATTATCCACATTGATGTGCCCACTGTACGGAGACCGGTCAGCAAGGCCCCCCCAAACAACTACCATCCAGCCACCATCGAGAAAGAAGGTGGATATCGGACCGACCTTAAGCCAATTCATATTACCCAGCCAGAGGGTGTGTCTTTCGAGGTCAAGGGCCGCACAATCGAATGGCAGAACTGGAGCATCCACGTCGGGTTCAACTACCGGGAAGGCATTGTCCTGAACAATATCACATTCAACGACAAGGGCAATGTGCGTCCTATCTTTTGGCGTCTTTCACTGGCCGAGATGGTCGTGCCATACGGTAACCCGGAACATCCACACCAACGTAAGCACGCATTCGACCTGGGCGAGTACGGCGGCGGATACATGACCAACAGCCTGACACTGGGATGTGACTGCAAGGGTGCAATTCACTATATGGACGCGGCATTTGTCAACCGTGCCGGCGCCAGCACAATCATCAAGAATGCCATCTGTATCCACGAAGAAGATGCCGGCATCCTATTCAAGCACACCGATTTCCGCGACGATTCGACCGTCGTAACCCGCGGCCGAAAGCTAATCATTTCGCAGATCTTCACGGCAGCAAACTACGAATACTGCGTGTACTGGATCTTCCACCAGGACGGCACAGTCCAGCTCGAGATCAAGCTGACCGGAATTCTCAACACTTACGCCATGAACCCAGGCGAGGATACCAAGGGCTGGGGAACTGAGGTGTACCCGGGCGTCAACGCCCACAACCACCAGCATCTGTTCTGTCTCCGTGTAGACCCGAACATCGACGGACCGAACAATACCGTCTTCCAGGTAGATGCAGTCCAAGGACCCGGTGAAGTTGGCAGTGCCGAGAACAAGTACGGAAACGCCTTCTACGCCAAAAAGACAAAATTCTCCACTCCCCTCGAGGCCATGTCCGACTATGACGGGTCTACCAGCCGTACCTGGGACATGGCCAATACCAACAAGCTCAACCCACACAGCAAGAAGCCCGTCAGCTACAAGCTGGTCAGCCGCGATGTTCCTCCCCTGCTCCCCAAGGCGGGCGGAATAGTCTGGAAGCGAGCAGGATTCGCGCGCCATGCTGTTCATGTCACTAAATGTAAGATTTTCTATTCCCCCGTTTTAACTTGTGTTCCTTTTCTGACTCAGTCCTCCAGACGACGACGACCAAGTCCATCCAGCTGGTCGCCATGTTCCACAGACCTCTGGCGAGCCCTCGGAGGGTCTGCCCGCGTGGATCGAAGCTGCTGGACCCAATTGCTCTATTGATAACACAGATATTGTACTTTGGCACACTTTCGGTCTGACACATTTCCCCGCGCCGGAGGATTACCCGGTCATGCCTGCGGAGCCAATGACACTTCTTCTGCGCCCTCGCAACTTCTTTGACCGCAACCCGGTCCTTGACGTGCCTCCTAGCTTTGCGCGTACACCGACGCAGGTGGCTGCTAGCGCCGGCGCCTGTGCCTGCAAGAAAAGTGATGGGTCTAGTGTGCTGGTTTGATCTGCCGAGATTGGAGATTCTTTTGGTTGCTGAGTTTTAAGCGTGCACTTCTTGTATGTAGATTTACATTTTTCTTATGGAAATTGAAGCAGACTCATCCTTCTTGAAATTTTATTACTTACAAGTTAGGGGCAGTTCTGGCATTTCCACAAGCTACAGGAGTAAATCGGTGAGCTACTAGGGCCATATATTTCAGAGAATAGTCGACCGCATATGCGGCCTAGTCATACTTTATCTTTGAAGAGGATTAGCTACCTACTACATACCATGTTACCATGTTGCCATTGCCTCAGGATATTAAATAAACGGGAGATAAGTTGATGTCGTTTTAATCGCGTGAGCGACAGCACCAACCACGAACGCCGCAACCATCAACTGATCTTCGAGCATCGTGCTTCCGATCCCGAGTGGACGTTTGAAATCTAGAGAATAAGAAGCGATTTAGCATAGAGAGCGAGGACAACTTGAGCTAAAGGGGTCTCCTTGCTTATGGTATTCTTCTTGCTCGACTGGTTCGTCCAGAATTCGGCTAAGCCGCGCAAATTAGCAAGAGGAAATGCGCAAAAATGCAAGTAAAGCAAATGGCTTAGGCAAAGATCTACGAGAAGGCCTTGGGAAGGCAAAGTGCAACTATACAAGAGGGAGGGAAGCAGCTCCCCCAAGAACTTTTAGCAGATACCAGACGTGTCCGCCAGATCAATTCGAGAAACCTCGTCAACGCATAAACGCCTCGAAACATCCTAACAGGAAGGGAATCATGTAGTCAGAAACCAAATTAAACCATCAAAGCCTGAACATAATGTCTAGCCAACACGCAGAAAAAAAAAGGGGGGGGGAGGGGGCAGCTGTGCAGAAACCAAAAAAAAAAAACCACGGAGCAATTCTAAGCAGACAATTTCCGCAATAGCGCCCTATCAACCTCCCCAAGCAACGCAAACAACTCCTTCCCGCCCTCGGAATCCTTCCCTTCAATATCAAGCGACTTGTGCAAGAACTTGCGCGCCTCCTCGTAGCGAGTCATCTCCGCAAGACACTTGGCAATGCGCCACCAAGCCTTAACATTTCCAACAGGCTTTGAATCAACACTAGCTTTAGCATCAATCAGCGCCTCGGGCCAAGCCTGCATTGCCATCTGCGCCTGCGCGCGGTTCGCATAAAGGCCCGACAATTCTTCGCGCGCAATACCCATAGGCTCCCAGCCCGGCCGGTTGAGTCCCATGTCGATGGCGAGCGAGTACAGCTTGATTGCCTCGTCGTAGTTTGCCTTGCGGTAGGCGGCGTTGGCGTTCTCGCGGAGTTTGTTGATCTGTGCACTGCGCTTGGGGTTCATGGGGAGGGGCGCAGGGGGGATGTTGGGGGGGGTCAAGGCTGATTAGGGCGCGGTGTAGTTGGTTCAGTTCTTCCAGTTCGGCGTTGATTGCGGCTGTTTGGGAGGGTGTTTGGGCGGATGAGTGTGGGAGTGAGAGTGCTTTAGTGGCTGGATCCATGTATAATGGGTATTGGTTGTAAAAGTCAATTTCGCTGGCCATCTTTAGGATTGCAGAGCCCGTAGGTCTCGGGCTTGGGTTAAGAGGTCGGTGTTGTCTCTGAGGGTTGTTAGTATATGCACTGCGGTGTGGGTGTTTGGGGAGTGGAATGGCAAGGCATGATGGGAGAATGGGTTGTTTCATACAAGGAACAGTTCAGGGTGTCGTCTCTAGCTGTTCCAAGAAGCACAGTTCACTTGGAGGTCAATATTAGGGGTAGTACTTGTCAAGAGATGATGATGGCAAGAGGGCAAGCTGTCCATTAATCCACTGATATGGAAAGCGGTGGCAGAATTATCGTACCTTGTCCACGCAACATATACTCTGTGTCTTCTACGAGCAAAGTGAGCAGGTTATCCAAGTGATAGTATCATTGAAAGATGAGTTTATCACACCTTGAGAATCGCCAAAATGGAAAAAAAAGAGATGGGTATAATTTGTGGTATAAATTGACAATACCTCAGCCTTCGAGATATCATCTTCTCACATTGCCTACCAACGTATTCTAACCTACCAAACACCACCGAGACACATGAAGTGACATTGCAACACATCTATATTTTGCTAGATCCAATTCAACAAAAGCAGGACATATAATCGTAATCCCAGGGCCAGGAGACCCTTGAGAGACATGGTAAAAACAAGGGCATCAGCCCAGAGCAAATAGCGATGCGCCCAACACCGCTCCAAGGTCAAGATCCAAGGCGCGTAAAAAAGCAAGACCACTCATCAATCCTCCGGGTATCTCACTAGGCTATGCCTCCATGTACACTACCAACACTCTTCACTCAACTCGGCCGTCTGCTGTAACCACTCACCGATGAGCCGTTAAACCCAGAGGGAGCAGTATACTCCGACGGGGTGTATTCCGACGAGTTGTACTGAGTCGAGGGCTCCACATAGTGCTGGCCATATGCACCACCGTAGCCAGTGTTATAATTGCTATAATCATGGAGGATAACTCCGGGTGCGGGAGCGGTGGGGTCGTAAGAGCCTTGCATCGCGGTCCGTCCCTGTAAGCTGCCTAGATCATCCACCTCACTCTGGTGCAGGAGGGCATAGTCCTCATCCCGGTCGATGCGGGATGAGGCGCCCATGACGCCGCCTCGGCCGGAACGAATGTCATCGTCATCTTCCTCGAAGTCCTGGGCTGGGTTCGATGAGAAGGCGGCTTTGCTCTGCGCGGCGAAAGTGGGGTCGGAGACGGCGTCGGGGAGGGTGCCGGTACGGCGAAAGTGCACCACATTGCGGAAGGACATCCAGGCGGTGATGGCGAAAATGATGCTTTTTGTTTGTTAGTTTGGTCCAAGGAATCGTTGTGTCGCGACGTTAGAAGAAATTGACGTACAAGATGAAAACGCCAATGATTGTAGTTGCCTCGCTCAGCTTGCACTTTCCAGAGCTTCCATATGCCCAGTTATCGCATCCGGTCTTGGTGGATTTGGAGTCGGAGCCGGGCTTCTTGTCATGACTGCTCGAGCCCTTGGACTTTCCATTGGCGACGTAGGAAGCGAGACAGATCCAAGCGCTGAGCCAGAGAATCGAATAGAGGATGTCGACACAGGCGAATGCATACACATTACCGAAGCGTCGGGCTCGGGGCCACATCGGCACTGCCACCAGGTAGACCAGAGCAGGAATACTCAACCAGCACTGCCATGCGATCAGACGTCAGCATGAGAGACCTCTTTGGGTTTTGCGGTATCAGAATCGCAAGAATGGAAAACATACCAGACCCCAGTACCAGCCTGTGCGTCCATCGATGCCGCCTCCTTTAGTCCAGATAGCGATGGTTAAGGCCCATGCGAGGAAGATAGCGAATCCTTGTATGAAATGAAGTATGTTTTTTGTCCGTCCGAGGCTTCCGCCTGACGGCATTTGAAACATCATATTATGTGTCGGAGCGCTGCAAAGGTGTTGCGCTTTTTGGTATTGGCCCGTAAATAATGGAGGGGTGGTCTCGGAATAAGGAAATAGTTTATCGTGAAGTCATACGGGACATAAAAAAAAAGTGAGAGATGAGATTAGAACAAAATCGAGCCCTGAAGAATAAGACCTGGAGGGGGTGTTGGTCAGGCTGAGGCTGCGTGGAGCAAAGTTGTCGGTTTGTTGTTGTTTTTTTTTCTGCTCTTTTTTTTTATTTTTGTGAATCGTAATATCGCAGTTCTGCAACTATTGAAATCTCTGAAGAATTTGTAAAATGAAAGGGTTGATGTTCCATTCAACAATCTATTTGTCTCTCTGCCTTACCCTGATCTGTTATGTTCGGAAGATGTCCCTCCACATCGCCCAGGCGACCGTCACTATTTCGGGAACTTCGCCACACTTGTGCTTGGCATATGCTCTGACATCTTTCTCACAGCCATGTCGCTCTCAAAGGTCACTTGTAACCCCCCCCCCTAAAAATACATCTCTATACGGGAAATGCGTTTTATGGTCTTCATTTACATCTGAAAAAGTCTTTGGAAGAAAATCTAAAAAAAAAACTGTATCGGAGTGTCCCTCTATATGACATCCTTTACATCGTTGCGGCCCAAGTAGGGATTATTAAAGTCTAACATCAACAAAGGCTAATGGCCGACTTCTCATGTGCATCGTAATCTCGTTTCTCGTAGACTCATGTCAACATAAAAGGGAAGTTATCAAGTCAGTCCCGCCTCTCGTGTTTGCTTCATCAATACCCATACCTCTCGCAGTGGTCGATAGACATGTACTTGCCACCACCAGGGAACTGGGTCAAGAAAAGAGAACAAGGGGTCTGCCCAAAATAACCACCTCACTAGTTCCAATTTTGTAATTTCAAGGGTCATGAGTACAAGGCGAAACAACAAAAACTGCAAGAAAGCAGCGGGAAAAATGGCGGCGCGGGCAAAAGTTGGTGCTGAACGGGTTGATGATAGTGTAGCTGCGACGTTGGTTGGATCAACTGGATTGGAAGAGAACACCGATAGATACCCTGCAATAGGGCAAGGTACATCATATGGCAGATTCTCAACAACTCGAGCGCCAGATGTACAGCCAGCAATATAGATAGCATGTCGGACAGAATACGGTTCGAACTCTTCATCAACCAGGAGTCTGACAGAGAGATGGCCTGTCAAGTGAACTCCACCTTTGGCGGCCAGTGTCTGCATAAGCCTATGGACCGAAGTGGCCAGAGCCTCCTCTGGACGCCAATCCCTCCGCGTAGACAAATCAGAATCGGAAAGCCGAATCTGAATGGCTTGAACGTGGCCACACACAACCAGCAGGTCTGCGAATAGCTCGCCAAGACGCGATTGTTGCTGTAGAATCCAGGGTCGGTCCTTGGAGATCTGGATCTCACTGACCATCGTGTAGGTCTTGCTTAGCGTACGCCTCGGCAAACTCATAGCCTTCTCCTTGGCAGTTGGTGTCGCTCGAGAGATCTGGTAAGCTTTGGAGGGCGACCGGTGTAAGATCTTGTGCACCGAGTCGCGCGTTTGGACCTTGTGATACTCAAGTACAGGAAGACCTCTCTTGGTCACATACTGCCGGAAAGAATCAGGATGGGCGAAGCAAGCCGCCAACTCGGTGTCCAAGGTGATACATCTGCAGCTAGTGCGACCCTCCACGACCTGTCGAGCCATCGCATCTTCAATGGAGGATACCTTGGGCGAGCAGGGAATCCACAGGTCGACCTTCTCACGGTGGATGACGTCAAGTAGCCGGGAGGGGTAATGGGCCTTGGGGATCCGGTAGAATGCCACCAGGGCCTTGGACATACTCCCACCGGAGCGCACGGGCAGGTCCAGGTCTGTAACATCGGCGCCAACCACGCGGTGGCCTTCTACCGCCCATGATCTTGCCAGTTTAAGGCCGTGGGCTGTACCTATGCCCGTAATGAGGACTGTTTTCGGGTAAAAGCGCACGTTTTGTTGTGTCGCTCGGTGTAGAGTGGCTATTGACCGGCTATAGGATAACAATCCCGCGACCACGAGAATGGTGCTATCGACAAATAACAACACGAACGAAAGGCATATTCGAAGCAGATGCCCGAGTATTCTTGATAGAGTTCCCGATGAGACTGAAGCCTTGGCGGATTGGATCGACATACCGAGTCTATGACTCACGGTAACGAGCAGATCGATGGGTTTGCTCATTTGACTCTAGGTACTGGAAAAAATCAACCTCAACAGTCTGGCACAGAGAATAGGAAATGGCCGCTGAAAAGGAATGAAAAGTTAAGTTTGCGGTGGCTGGGCATAATGAGGGGCTTGGGCTGCAGACATCTCACATAGTTCAGCGTTACAATGTGACGATGCACTTTCTGTGTTGAACTTTTAAACATTTGAACACCTCCATTTATCTGTAGACCCTTGGAAGATCAAGATCTCTGGGTCAAGTATCCCAGAGAGATATTGGCGGGGGTCTCTGATCTAACCTCCAAGACTAGGAAGTATATGGAATTACCGGATGGGATCAGGTTTCCGACCTTGTATCTAGAATCAGTGCGCTCGGTGCTGATTGCCTAAAAGAATACCCTCCATGGAATGTGGATTTCTGGTCTTGGTGGAGCTGTTATCTACCAATGACTGGCGAATGCTGAGTGAATCGTGATCCGACTCGGACTTCCCTACTGTCTCTCCATCCGGAGTAGTCCAAGCGTTATCCCCGAGGTGCGGTGTCATTTATAAGTGGTGTTATCCGCATAGAATCGCATGAATCATCAACAACCAGTTCTCTTGATCTATCTCCACGTCATGTCTGCACAAATTTCCACGGTAGGAATTGCATTCTGACCCAGTCTCTAATTGGAAGAAATGAACGCTGACTCATACTACAGAGCGACGCCGGCAAGGAGCTGAAGCTCCTGCATTACATCTATGGGCAACCAAATCTAGATGAAATCCGGGGCCATCCCCAAAAAGTGATCGATCTGATTCACGAGTTTGAGAAAGACTACAATTTTATGATTGTCGGCGCCGAAAAGGGCAAATTCGTCACCAAGCTCATCGATGAACTCAAGCCAAAGACCATGATCGAGCTCGGCTGCTACGTGGGCTACTCTGCAATCTTGTTCGGTGATGTGGTCCGTCGAAACGGTGGTGAACGCTACTTGAGTCTCGAGTTGAACCCAGAGTTCGCCGCAATTGCCAACATGCTCGTCGAGCTAGCTGGATTGCGTGACTTTGTGCGTATCATTGTCGGTCGAAGCGATGTGTCGCTACACAAATTGCTCACTTCGGGCGAGATGAAGAAAGTAGAACTTCTCTTCCTCGATCATTACAAACCGGCGTACACCACTGACCTCAAGATATGTGAGCACTTGGGGGCTATTGTGCCAGGCTCAGTGCTCGTTGCCGACAATGTCATTTACCCGGGTAACCCACCATATCTGGAATACGTCCGCAGCACGGTGGAACAGAAGCGTGAAGCGGCCAAGGCTGGACCTTCTCAGGCATATAACACTACCGGCATTGCGGAACGTGCGGTCCAGTCCTTTGTGGGCAGAGATGACGTGCCCACTTTCCGATTTGTCGGGAACCCGCACTTGGTGTATCAGAGTCAGCTATGCCAACCCGAGGGATTGCGAGTAAGTGTGATCCAAGAAGGAAGCTTCCAGTGTCGCTAACCGCAATTTCAAACAGGATGCTATCGAAGTAACGAGGTGTGTTGGGATACAAGAGGAATAGGTCCAACACTTATAGTCAGTGACGCAAGTGGGACAGCGGCATAAGTCGAGATGTCAAAGTGCTTTTTTTTAAAAAACAAACCTTACACCATATGTTGTGTGTGGTGACTCTAGAGAAATGAAGGCGGATAAATAGCGGATAACATCCGCCTTAACAATAGTTTGAGTGGGGAAATAGTCTCTCAGAATCGTACCATTCCCTCTCATTGGCTCCATCCGAGGGTCCATCATCTCTTACTCCGTAGAGCTACACATCCGCAATGTTCTTTGATCTCGAGCAGAGAACTGTAGTACACATTAGTCTGAGAGGTTCATGGACACTGAGTAGTGGGATCTTCTCTGTCATAAGCCAAGAGAATACAAGAAACGATCCTTGTCAAATAGGTGCAGAGCGCTCCCAAGTAGATGTAGAGGTGACCATTTTGCCACATCGGGAAGCCGAGTCGGCCTTGCCTTTGAGACCCCCACCTGAGTCAACGTTCCCAGGTTGCCGTCGCCAGGACTTTCCCGCATCTGCCCCGCTAAATGATTTCCGGGGCCACATAAATAGTCTCTGCCCCTCCTAATTTCTCCCTCAACTAATCCTCAATCTAGATCTCATCATGGCTAGCAAGACTTACAACGTCGGCATTGTCGGCTACGGCTTCAGCGCAAAGATCTTCCATATTCCCTTCTTGAAGGAGGTTCCCGAGCTCAAGCTCTACGCAGTTGTCCAGCGCACCCCGAAGCAGGATGATGATGCCGAGAAGGATCACCCAGGTGTGAAGTCTTTCCGTACTGCCGAGGAGATGGTCCAGGACCCCGCAGTTGACGTAGTGATCATCACTACTGCTCCCGATTCTCACTTCGCGCTGTCCAAGCTGGCGCTGGAGGCTGGCAAGCACGGTGAGTGTCTAGCATTCCCGAATAGCAACTGGCATCAACAAACTAACGTGCGATATATCAGTCGTCTGCGAGAAGCCCTTCACCCCCACCACCCAAGAAGCCGATGACCTCGTCGCCATTGCGAAGAAGAACAACAAACAGCTTGCCGTGTTCCAGAGTATGCTTTGCCGCCTGGCTTATTTAGATCCCTACTAATGCCTACCTTAGATCGTCGCTGGGACGCCGACTTCGTGACCCTCTCCAAGCTTGTCAAGAATGGCTCGCTCGGCCGCATCTCCGAGTTTGAGACTCACTTCGACCGCCACCGTCCCGAGGAGCCAGCATCCGACTCTCACAAATGGAAGAACAAGGTCATCCCTGGAGGCTCAGCGATCTATGATCTTGGAACCCACCTCCTGGACCAGGTCGTGCATCTGCTCGGGCTACCTGCGCGGGTGACCGGTTTCATCGGCTCTTCCCGGGAGATCAACTCATCTTCATACGTGGACTCCTTCACCGTTCTGCTGCATTATGCCAACGGCACATTGGCTACTGCCAAGGCGACCGTGGTCAGCCCCGAAGATGAGCAGCTGCGCTTCTGGGTGCGCGGTGACAAGGGCAGCTTCAAGAAGGTAAGCGCATCGACTTGTGCAGACTACAATGCGAAGAGATGCAAAATCTAACCTGATTGTGTAGTACCACCTTGATATTCAAGAAGATCAGCTCAAGGCCGGCATCATGCCCCAAGACAAGGGCTACGGCTGTGAGCCGAGCGAGCGTTACGGTGCTCTGACTACTATCAAGGACGGCAAGCCCGTCAAGGAGGTGGTTCCCACCGTGGAGCCCCCTACCTACACCGAGTACTACCGCAAGCTTGTCCGCGCACTTAATGGTGAGGGTGACCTCCCTGCCAGTGGCGCGGAAGCTCGCGAGGTCATTCGTTTGATCGAGTTGGCCCGTGAGAGTTCCCGCACTGGACGTACTTTGGACGTCTAAACTCGGGTTTGTAAGATGCAATAATGATTATGATATACTAGATATGAGGCAATCTCAATTGAATACTTGGATGAAGTTCTTCTTTGTGACAAAACAGCAACTGTCTTGCAGTTGGCAATTAAATAATTTAGCCTTATTACACAAGGGCAGTTCAACAGAAACTGTAGATGCCCAGGAGTCTCCACTCTCCAAGTATGTGGAATCAGATTGAATATCTATATCCGTATTGCAGCCTAAAAACGGGTCCATTATTGTTGCTTGTTGACTGGGTTCTCATCGTCACATGTTATGCACGAGCTAGGGGTCTGAGCATATTTTCTCTTGCACGAACGAAAAGCTTTGCAAACTGTTCCACAGCTCCCCCGAAGAACTAACTCTTGAGCTAAGTAACACTTGCGATGGACGTCAAATCGCTGCCAGATTTCCGATTCTTCCCATACCCAGTCGAGTCTAAAGAACTACTTCCATCAGATGATCCAATCACCCTCAACACCTCGTCTTCATGGACTTACTGCGGACCTCTCTTGACCCTTGAATCATGTAAACTGCCATCCTCTTTTAATACCTGGGCAGAAGCTACAACCAGAGGCTCAATATGGTCCTCCTTGTTCTCTTTCTTGGAATACGTCCACGACTTTCTGGCCAAAAACAACCAATCCCACTACTGGCTCACAATAAGAGCAAGCAAAGGCTCAGATGAATTCGACACCCCACGCTGGCACACAGACGATTTGTTCTTCGCTCCTCTGCAACCACTTACAAACCATCGACGCGAATCGCTCTTCTCACCAATCACTAATCTACTCAAATCCACCTGGACAAGACCAACAACGCACCGAGACTTCCCGGCCCCAATCTCATACTCCAAACTCCAAACCAAACATCATGCTCATCCCCGACCCATGCCCCCAACCGCCCAAATCCCCTCTACAAGCCCAAGCCCAACAAACTGGAAACTCACAACAACCCTCCTAGGCCCCGGAACCCTATTTATCTCACCTGCAACAAACCACATAGCACGTGCCACGCAACAAGCAGCCAAAACCGCCGCCCGTGCAGCAGCTCCAAACCACATCTGCGTCTCAGTGCGGTGTGTGGGCTGCGCCATGGCGGCGGAGTCGGTGCGAGCGCGGCTGGCTGTTGAGCTGAGCGGACATGGGATTGTGCAGGCGTCGGCGGGGGAGTGTGTTTTCTTCCGGGTTGGTGAAAAAGAAGGCGCGGTGCATTCTGAGCCGCGATCGCATGGGGATCGCGTATTTGTCAATGTTGTTCCTGGTCATGAGGCGGATCTGAGAGCACTGATGATGAAGTGGGGAATGGAGTACCCGCGGGCTTGGTGTGTTGGGTTGCCGATGATTATTGGGGAGGGGGAGGAGTGTTTGAGGGATGTTGGGGGGCAGATTTGATTCTTTGCTTTCTAGGGTGTTTTGGGTAGTGGTGGAGTTTGGAGACATCTCAGTATTCCTAGGTATCCTTGGATGCTCTGGGCATATCACAATACCTGGGAGAACTGCTTTGTGTGGAAATCAACTCCCACTATTTTACTCAAGTGATAGTCCCCAACAGCCAATGATTGTTAGGTGTAGTGAAGGGTATATCTACATCTTTGATGCTGTGACGAAAAAGGAAATATCGTCAGGCCAATGACGCTTTGCCAAGCCGCTAGTCCCCAAAGGTGGTTTAAATTACCAAATGTAAATCCGCTGTGGACAAGACATTGGACCTGGCATCAACCTTGAGGACGTCGGAGATTTGACACCCGCGGAGAAAGAGATAAGGGTTACGCTAAACCGCACACATGAGGGATTGTTCACTAAGAGAGACCGGAATACGGTGAAAGGGGGTTCTTTCTTTATTTCCCCGATAGGGGCTAAAAATCCTACTGTGAGATGTCTTCGTGAAATTTGGTCCGGCCGAGGGGATCATCAGCAAAGCCTACCAGAGCCTAGAGCAAATTTGCCCATCGCAGGCGGAAGTCCAGTATGGAGGCATCCCCTCATGGACCGGTGACGCTATCCCATCCGACGACCTGGAATTTCGATATCGATCGGTATGTGAATCCGCTTATACCGGCGCCACGATGGCATCTCATACCAAGACCAGTTGCCTACATGTTGGGATATCGGGATAGACCACTCAAGCCAATAGGCAACATCGTGGTCGCATTGTGGTCGTTGGTTGGAGCGTTTTGTGGGGTGGCTTTAGTGGCATCTGTTTCGAAACGGGTACCTTCTTTTGAAGCGCGTGATGCAACGGTGATCGTTGGCAGTTTTGTAAGTTTGGTTGTGGTCTGATGCGAGAGCAGAGTGGAACAAGAACAACCCCGTGCTGACTCAACGTTTTTGTGATAATAGGGCGCGGTGGCAGTGATTGAGTTCGGTGCGATCGACTCGCCCTTCGCACAACCACGCAATGCAGTCCTGAGCCAGATTATTGCCTGTTTCTTCGGTGTCGGGATATCGAAGTTGTTTGCCTTGAACCCTGGTGCTGAAGCGTATACTGAGCTTGGGGGCGCTCTGGCTTGCGCTCTTACTACGGCTGTCATGCTTCTCACCAAAACTACACACCCGCCTGCGGGTGCGACTGCTCTTCTGGCAGTGACACATTCTCAGACTGTTGCTTTGGGCTGGTTTCTGTTTCCGGTCATATTGCTTGGAGTCACACTGATGCAGGCTGCGGCAGTAATCATCAACAATATCCAGCGTCGGTATCCGCTATACTGGTGGACGTCACATCCTCTAGCACGGTCTCGTGGGGATGTGGAAAAGGCTATTCAAAATGGATCCCCTAGTCTCTCTAGTCATTACGAGGATAGTCTGATTGATGTTCCTCGGCGGTTGGTCGTAGAACATGGTGACATTTCAGTGCCTAGTGGGATATTGCTTTCTGCCGAGGAGCAAGAAGTGTTGCTGAAGATTAGCAAAAGACTTTAAGGAGAACACTCCAAATATCAAATACATGTTATCTCTCGTCCAACCTTAGCCCCTGTTATCCAGTCGCATATCACACAAATTTCCATCTGCATGTGGCAAATAGACACCTCAGGCATTTCCTACGGTGACGTCTCCCCCAATCAAAATCCAAGTATGCACACGGCCCACTGATGAATTTTTTTTTTGTGTGGAAGTTCTTGAACCCTTGAATTCGCCAACTCACTCTACCCTCAAGGTAAAGACCTCAATTTTACAAGTGAACAAGGTACGTTTCTGCTTTTAGTCCTTTGGTCTCTTTTTCCCTCACTGACAATCGATAGGATTCTATCGATAAGGGCAAACCACCAACTCCACTGCTCCTACGCCCCTCCATTTTCTGTCCGCCCCGCCAGGCGATCCACTCAGCCTTTTTGCATTTCTCTTCAATCTCTTTTTGCATTGTCATCCTTTTTTTCTCTCACTTCCTTTTTACCTTCCGTCTGCCCTTCTTTTTTTTTTTTTTAAAAAAAACCCCCCCCTTTTTTTATACCGTCACACCCGCAACCATGGTTTCCGCCTCGAAGGCTGCCCGCATGGCCAAGCGTGCCGACGAGAAGAAGCCCAAGAAGGTCACCAAGGTCGAACTCGATGCCCACGGAAAACCCATCGTCGAGGATGCGCCCGCCACTAAGGATCAGTCCGCCGTTGATAAGCTCACAGCCCAGTTGGATAAACACGGTCTGTCCGATCGTGTCACCACCGGTGTGCTATCATCTCTGCCCGCCTCTCGCGACGTCAAAATCACCTCTTGCTCTCTTGTATTCCACGGAAAGGTCTTGGTCACTGATTCTACTCTCGAATTGACCTTCGGTCGTCGCTACGGTCTCCTCGGTGAGAACGGTTGCGGAAAGTCCACTATCCTCAAGTCCATTGCTGCCCGCGAGTACCCCGTTCCCGAGCACATCGATATCTACCTCCTGAACGAGGGTGCACCCCCCACCGACTTCGGTGCCCTTGACTGGGTTGTTCGCGAGGCCGAACGCCAGTTGGATGAAATGGAGAAGAAGGCCGAGCAGGTTCTTGAGGAAGAAGGCCCTGATAGCCCTATCCTCGAAGACCTATATGATGTATGTATCTTTCGAGTTGAAATTCTCCTTGTCTCCAGAACATAAGCTAACCGTCCCATCCAGCGCATGGACAAGATGGATCCTTCCACTTTCCACGTTCGTGCCTCCCTCATTTTGACCGGTCTCGGCTTCAACAAGAACACGATCAACAAGAAGACCAAGGACATGTCCGGTGGTTGGCGTATGCGTGTTGCCCTCGCCAAGGCCCTGTTCGTCAAGCCCTCTTTGCTCTTGCTTGATGATCCCACTGCCCATTTGGACTTGGAGGCTTGTGTGTGGCTCGAGGAGTACCTTAAGAAGTGGGATCGTACTTTGATCTTGGTCTCCCACTCCATGGATTTCCTCAACGGTGTCTGCACCACCATGATTGACATGCGTGGCCAGAAGCTTCTTTACTACGGTGGTAACTACGATTCTTACCACAAGACCCGTAGCGAGCAGGAGACCAACCAAGCCAAGGCCTACACTAAGCAGCAGGAAGAAATCCAGCACATCAAAAAGTTCATTGCTTCCGCTGGTACCTACGCTAACTTGGTGCGTCAAGCCAAGTCTCGCCAGAAGATTCTCGACAAGATGGAGGCCGATGGTTTCATCCAGCCCGTCGTTGCCGACCGTGTCTTCACTTTCCGTTTCGCCGATGTTGAGAAGCTTCCTCCCCCAGTTCTTTCCTTCGACGATGTCAGTTTCTCTTACTCCGGTAAGTGGGAAGACACTCTGTACGAGCACCTCGATCTCGGTGTCGACATGGACTCCCGTACCGCCCTGGTCGGCCCCAACGGTGTCGGCAAGTCTACCTTGCTCCGTCTCATGACCGGAAAGCTCAGCCCTATCGGTGGCCGTGTCTCCCGTCACACTCACTTGAAGCTCGGTGTTTACAGCCAGCACTCCTCTGAGCAGCTTGATCTTACCAAGTCTTCCCTGGAGTTCGTCCGTGACCGCTTCCCCGAGAAGTCCCAGGATTACCAGTACTGGCGTCAACAGCTCGGCCGCTACGGTCTGAGTGGTGAGGGCCAGACTGCCCTCATGGGTACCCTGTCCGAGGGTCAGAAGTCTCGTATTGTGTTCGCTCTGCTTGCCATCGAGTCCCCCAACATGATTCTGCTTGACGAGCCTACCAACGGTCTTGATATCCCTACCATTGACTCCTTGGCCGATGCCATCAATGCCTACAGCGGTGGTGTCGTCGTCGTCTCCCACGATTTCCGTCTCCTCGACAAGATCGCCAAGGACATCATGGTCTGTGAGGACAAGACCATCCGCCGTTGGGACGGCTCCATCGGCGAATACAAGAACCACCTCCGTAACAAGATGTTGTCTGCCGGTGCCGTTTAAGGAATTTCTTGATTCTCATTGTTCAACTTCTTTTTTTTCCCCATTGATGACGACGAAATGTTAGACGAGAACTGAAGGAATACAAATGCCCACATGGCACTAAAAGCTTGGTTCCCGGAAAATAAGGACACAACAAAGGTTCCTTGGATTGGGATGGTTTTCATTTTATTTTCATTTTGTCTGTTAGATCGTCTGTCCTTTCTTCCCTTCCTGATAGACTTTGGGTTATGGAGGATTGGATTTCTGCGTTTGCTATCATGAACTCATTACCCCTGATTCGATCCGTCTGTTTTTTTTTCGCTTTCCTGTTTTGTGCATCCTTGATACAGTATCTAATCCTCTCTTTCGAGGTGAATATAAAGGATGCCAGTCTGAAGTATATCTCTATGGCTTGTGTTTTTTGCTTGTGGAATAGGCTAGTACTCTCAATCTTCGTATATGTTGCTAGTTTTGTACACCGGACTTCCACTGGATTGACACTAGGTTAATATTCTGTGCAGATTACCTTCCCCGTTGGCAGTCTAATGACTCTGAGGATTGGCCATGGAACCTGTTCGAGAATTGCCCTTGCCTTTTTTCTCTTCATGTCATTCTTATCCCAACACTAATGTACCACCGTGGCGATGCACCAACGGACAAAGAACATCAACAATGGCCATAGTAGCCCTCATTGTGATCTCTCCATCTCTCCTTGTCAAAAACAAAGAACCAAATCCAAGTCAACATCGACAGGACATTCATAAATTCTCGTCCCCATCCCATCCAGGAAGATCTAGGTCAGCCCCAGCACCTGAACCCGCTCACACTAGAAACCAGTCATAGATAAATACCCCACCCACCGACGCAATGGACGGAGCTCGCTTACACCCCTACAACTTCCGACAGATCTATGTACAAGCCTGCGAAACCTTCACCCACAAGCTCCAGTGCCAAGTATTCGTTCTCCTGAGCCAATCCCCCAGCCCTGACATGGAGGAGATTAGCACGCGGCTGGAGGAGCTCTGCGAGCGAGTCATTCAGATTGGTTTCCTGGGTGGAGTCGGCGAATTCGGGGTCCGCGATGATAGCCACGTCCGTATCCGTTGGGGTTCGCTTCCGATCAAGGAGATTTGTTTTGAGATTAAGTGGGAGCTCACCGTTATCAAGGATGAACTTGCTAGCGGTTCTGCAGCTCCCGTGCTGGTTGCGGATCTTTTGGTGGATGTTCTGGACAATCTGCCGTTTTAAATCTAAATTTTATTTTTTTCAATCCTGCTTTGATTTCGTTTGTGGACTTGTTGAGTGAAGTCTTGCAGGAGTGGTTCTTGTTTTGGGTCATTCTGGGTCCTTGTATGGGTAGAATAATCTATAGGTACTGGTAAACAAAGACACAAAAAGTAGAATGACAAAACTAATGGCTTTGTTGTATTCGACGGGATGTACTTGTTGCTGGGCAGTGTACTTCGGAGATCTGGGGAGCGAAATGGGCAGTGCCACTTACAACCATTAATATCGCATCGATAGGATGTCGAAAGGCCGGTTTCACTTCTGGTTTCACATGCTGGACGAGAGCGAAAAAAACCCTAGGCCAAATTGAGTGCTTCGGTCCGATGATGACAGGAATGTATCTGTGCCCTAAGCTGGATTTGAGACTTTGGATGTTCCAGGTCTGCATAGACTTAGAGATCTAATGACTATCTATGCCTAAGACGTAGAAATTTGGAAATGTATCATTGTGTACAACGTTGGCAGCATCAAGAAGTGTGCCTGTTCTGATGCTTGGTATTGAAATCTTTGTGAATTGAGATTCAATGGCTTGCATGATGGTTACTGCTTGGTTCGTTGAGTGACCAACTCCGGACCAAAAACATTATCATCCAGACGGATGGTCTGTTCTTGTTCCAGTTTCCGCTTTTTCGCTAGGCGTTCTGTTTCGCTCTCAGAAGTGACTACTCCAGTGTCACTTTGAACAGCCGTAGATGGTTGTGCTGATTCCCGTTTCTGAGCAGCAGCCATATTCTTCTCCGGGTTCTGACAATGATATAGTTTCTTTGCGATGCGCTTGAGGCTCTTCATTTGCGCGGGGTCCGAGGAGAGGGGAGTGTAGGATTGGAGTAGAGCAGAACATTCAGTCAAGACGTGATGCAGCTTGGAGCGGATCTCATATAGAGGGTTCAAAAGGCCATTTTCGTCTGTTTCCGGGGCGGGAATTGTGGCTGTGACAGGACCACCAAGTTTTACATCCAGCAAAAACTCGGCTAGGGGACGATCCGCCAGTAAAAAGGCGGAAAACCAGATCTGGGATGGTGTGTACAAGAAGTAGGCGTCCGTCATCTGTGCGGCAGATTTCAGCAACTCACGGGTTGTGCCGTGGGCCCGAGCGATCCGGTCTGACATTGAAGACGACGGGACCGGAGGGGGTGCGATGGACAGCAATCCTTGCTGGAGATCTTCGGCAGTTTCATGTGGTAGATGGGGGGCTGGCTGGCCTTGACCTTGTGCGATGGCTTGCAGTTCCATGACGCCGCCTTCGAGTCCCCGGAATGGATGCCGGACATCAAAAGTGAAACGGAGTCCCTGCATGAGCAGGAATTCTGGTGCGATGACGTCCTCGGTCGTTGTGTCACCAGGGATTCCATCTACAAATTGCCGAAGAGAGATATAGTAATTGTCGGTTTTGCTCGCGACGAAGAGCGCACATGCCATGATCGACTTTGGGTGGTATGTCATGGGTGAATTGGTTAGGTAGAAGCGGCGGAGGTATTGTATCGCGGTGGCCTGTATGAGCAGAGTGAAAAGTCAGTATCATAAGCATTTTTTACCTAGACTTTGAAGAAAAGCATCATGTCCTCTAGAGCTTAACGTACCCGCACCATTGTCGGAATTGGTGGCTTATATGTCTCTCCCAGCTCTAGCGTTTTCTCGCAGTAATACCGCACGAGAACTAGCTCCTCCTCTGGTGTCAAGCATTCAACGTCCTTCTCATCTTTGTTGTTGATCTCCACATTGATTCCGGGGATTGGTGTCCCCACCGCGGAGGATGCGGTCGACTGATGAGTTTCGCGCGATCTGCGCAAAGCGGCACGCACGCGCTCGCTAGCAACTGCATTTGTCGAGGCTCGGAGAGATTGCAGAGATGGTTCGGTGTATGACCAGAGTCGGTACTGGGACGAGGCACGGTAAAGGTCGTCTTCAATCATGGTGCTGGCGCTCTTGACTTGGAAGAATCAAACGCTAGAAACCTTTATTCTTGGGCGGAGATAACGGCCGACGAGTTAAAGAATCATTAAAGGAAAACTCCGAGCAGAAAAAGGTGGCAAATACAGGGTAGTTCTAGAGATGAGAATAAACATTTGCCAATTATCAAAAGAGCCTAGCAGCCAACCCACTTGTGTTGATTCGAGGGAGGTTGCTCAGAGCAGGTGCTTATCGATAACACTACCCTGGCTTCAGCCCTAGAGTTGTACCTAAACGCGACGACAAATTGTTGCACATTTTGTTCTATTAAATAGAACATAGAATCAAAAGCTATGTGGCAAGGTTTAAGATGCCATGAACCACCCAATGCAATCCGTTCAGCTCCAATATGTGCTTTCTACCGCATTTCATCCCAAGTCCACTACAAACACCCGAATGTACATTACTCACCGAGAAGTCGGGCAGCAATCTCACCCATACGACCTTCTTCCAACTCGTAGTCTTGACCTCCTCGTCGCTCGGCACCGACAAATCGGAAAGCAGCCACCACACGATCGACGTCGAAGCCCATGCTGGTGAAACGGTCGATCAAATTCTTGTTGTATCCATCATACCTATAAATTATAATCAGCAACCATATTCAATTATGGCAGGAAAAGAGGACTCACTTTGCAAAGCTGTCTTCGTAAGCCCCATGCCGAGTGTCATCTAGGCTTGATCCGCTTTCATTGTCAGCACTACCCACGGGGGCTCCAGCATGGGCTCCAGCATAGATGACTGCCCACTCGCGTGCAACACGTTCAAACTCCTTGGGTGACGTGAGAAGCATATTGGCCACTTCAGCATCTTGGGGATCCTTGGGCTCGGGTGTGCTAAGCAAAGATTGCAGCGAAAGCAGGGCGGACTTGATAGTCAGAACTGGTGACCAAGCACTGGAAAGCGTGTCGAGGCAGATTGCACCCTACACCGGCTGTCAGAATCCAGTTTTTCTCATATGGATATAGTAAAGAGGGCACTGACCGTTTGACTGCTGACATTTGGATGCCACACTTTGGTCTCAAACTTCATGGTAGGTGGTCGAAAAGGGTAGTCGGTGGGGATTTTAATATCAATATTGTAGGTGCCACCTTCATATGGGGTGCCGGGTGGCCCGGGAAATGAACCCCTTAGGTGAGTGACATCGTCCTGGTTGCCAAATGGCTCGGCCTTGATTTGAGAGTGGGCATCGGCGTGAATGTCCGCAATCTCTTTACCAATGCGACGCATACGATTGCTAGCCATGGTGATTCGAGGATTCGTTTCAACAAGAGTTAAACCAGGAGATTTTAAAAGAAGAGATCGTTCAATGTGTAACTTGAGGAGAGAGAGAGAGAGATCTATTTTCGTCTTGTCAAAGACTGCACAAAAGCATGAAAACTGGCGTATGGAGGAAGACGGAGTAGGGCTGATGGTAGTAGGATGATGTTAGGAAGGTGTCAGATCTAGTAAAGACTTTCAAAAACCGAGTACAAATTGCCCTTGGGAATTGAAAGAAACAAGATAAACGAGAAGCTTACCGAAGGAGGGGAACTATACGGGGAATCAGTACGAGCGATGAGCTCAAATACCTGTCACCTATTTTCTGGTTGTGAAATATAGACCCTGAGGGAAAAAATCACGTCTGTCAATCCTGGATGGCGTAAGGTAAATCCCAGCATAGAGCCTCGGCGGAATATAAATTTCTTTGATTGTCCTCGAGAATGTCGGAGGTACAAGCACAGTGCCGCCGATAAGACAGACAGTAAGGCGACAAGGCGTGAATGACGCAGTGGCGGCCTGAGGCTGCCAGGGTCACGTGTGGACCTAAGAGCTTCCAGCTCGCCCAGCATCTGACCTCGGGCGACACCACCACATCTTCATTGACAATCCATCCCCTTTGACTCGTCTTTTCCATCATTCAACACCACTCAAGGCTCGGGAATCGCCCTACTTTGATTCCGTTCGCAACTTCGCATCAGGGATTCTGATTGTCTCCCTCTCGGTGGCTGACAAACATGGTGAGTATCCCAACCTTGCCAACCTTTGGGGGGGCTATCTGGATTAGCATTCTAACAATCAAAAATAGGGTCAACAGCAGTCTAACTTGGGTGGCGGCCCTGGAGGCGATGGTCGCGATGACAAGGATAAGAAAGTATGTTTTTACTCGTTTCCTCTACTACACAACTAGCGCTGAGACCATCTTTCTTTCATCAGAAGGACAAGCCCAAGTACGAACCTCCCCCACCACCTACCACTCGTCTTGGAAAGAAGAAGCGCAAGGCTGCTGGTCCAAGCACTGCGTCCAAGCTCCCCGATATCTACCCTACATCGCGATGCAAGCTACGATACCTTCGCATGCAGCGTGTTCACGACCACCTGCTGTTGGAAGAAGAGTACGTTGAGAACATGGAACGAATGCGCAAGGCCAAGGCCCTGGCAAGCCAGGATCCTGCCAGGGGAGGTGGTGACTTGGATGTGATGGATCGGAACGCTGATGAGCGGAGTCGAGTCGATGATATGCGAGGTAGCCCGATGGGCGTCGGCAATTTGGAAGAGTTGATTGATGATGACCACGCTATTGTCTCAAGTGCCACCGGCCCTGAGTACTACGTCTCCATCATGTCTTTCGTCGATAAAGATCTCCTTGAGCCGGGCGCTAGCATTCTTCTACACCACAAGTCAGTGTCTGTCGTCGGTGTATTGACGGAGGAGTCTGACCCCCTCGTCTCGGTGATGAAGTTGGACAAGGCGCCCACAGAATCATACGCCGATATTGGTGGTCTGGAGCAGCAAATTCAGGAAGTTCGAGAATCCGTCGAACTGCCCTTGCTACACCCCGAGCTGTACGAAGAGATGGGTATCAAGCCCCCCAAGGGTGTGATTCTCTACGGTGCCCCAGGTACCGGAAAGACGCTACTTGCCAAGGCTGTTGCCAACCAGACTAGCGCAACCTTCCTCCGCATTGTTGGCAGTGAACTGATCCAGAAATATCTGGGTGATGGCCCCCGCTTAGTTCGCCAAATTTTCTCAGTTGCTGCTGACCATGCTCCATCAATTGTGTTCATCGACGAGATTGATGCTATCGGTACGAAGCGATACGAATCACAATCTGGCGGCGAGAGAGAAATCCAGCGAACTATGCTTGAGCTTCTGAACCAGCTAGATGGATTCGATGATCGTGGTGACGTGAAGGTCATCATGGCCACCAACAAGATCGAAACACTGGACCCAGCTTTGATTAGACCTGGTCGTATTGACCGTAAGATTCTCTTCGAGAATCCAGACCGTAAGTGATACCCTGACGTCTACTGTCTCGTCGTTGCTTACTAACATCTTTTAGAAAATACTAAGAAGAAGATTTTCACTCTGCACACGTCGAAAATGTCTCTCGGTGATGACGTTGATCTCGAGGAGTTCATCAACCAGAAAGACGATCTCTCTGGTGCCGATATCCGCGCCATCTGTACCGAAGCTGGTTTAATGGCCTTGAGAGAGCGCCGAATGAGGGTGCAGATGGACGACTTCCGGGCAGCTCGTGAGCGTATCATGAAGACCAAGCAGGATGGCGGTCCTGTAGAGGGTCTATACTTGTAGGCGCTTGCAATTCTTTCGAGTGTAGAGTGCCGGAGTTCTTGCACTGGAGACCTGGACTCAGCTAGGTCCCCGTGTATTGTAATAATCAAGTGACGAATTAATCCAAAGGGCGCACCGCGCAGCAAATCCCCTAATTTTATCCAAAAACACACATCAAAGTAGATAATTCCCCTGTCGTAGGTCTGCGCCAAGCACTGCAGCTTATCGGTCACAAGTTGCAAACACTGCAAACAAGCTCACTATCAGGTCGAGGCCTCCCTCTCGGTCTGTCGCAACGTTCCTCACACACTCAACCATGGATGAATTCGACGAGGAAGCATTCAATCAGTTCTTCCCTTCCAGCTTTGGGAAGCAGGCGAAATCGGTTGATGTTGAGTCACAGATCAGCCGATCCAAGCGTGTCGATATTTCGGCTTCAAAACCCGAGGGCAATGAACTAAGCACTGGCATGACAGCCCTTAGCGAAGCAGCAAGAGGGAGCGACGATGAGCAAAAAGAAAGTGACAATGATGGCGATGAAGACTCTGACAATTCAGATGATGACGAGGATGAATTTCCCGTATCGCATGAGCTCGTTCTCAAGGCTCATGAGCGTGCCGTGACAACCATGACCGTGGACCCCTCGGGGGCCCGACTAATCACAGGTTCTACCGATTGCACACTGAAACTATTTGACTTTGCCTCGATGACTCCTTCAACACTTCGTGCTTTCAAATCCGTCGATCCTTCAGCCAAGAAAGCGACGGCGGCCCAGGACACCCACGCCGCGCACTACGCCGCGTTCAATCCGCTCTCCCCAAGCTATGTTCTAGCTGTGACTGCCACTGCGCAGCCACGGATTCTCAGCCGTGACGGTGAAATACTCACGGAATTTGTGAAGGGAGATATGTATCTACGAGATTTGCACCACACCAAAGGACATGTGTCTGAGGTCACTTGTGGTGTATGGAATCCATCCAATCCTAACCTATGCGCTACCGGTGGAACCGACAGCACAATTCGCATCTGGGATGCCAATGTCGGTCGCTCGCAGAGGGAGGTGATCGTGCACAAATCGCGGGCAGCTGGCTCCGCTGGTCGGACTAAGATGACTGCCATCGCATGGGGCTCTCCGAAACAAGGAGGTGTCGACATTCTGGTAGGTGTGGGTCTCGACGGGAGCCTAGCCATGTGGAGTGGAAACGGTCCATACACAAGACCCAGCGCAGAGATCCGGGATGCTCATGCCAAAGACACATGGACAAGCGGTCTTGACATCAGTTCCGACGGAAGGCTTGTTATCACCAGAGGTGGTGATGATACCATAAAGCTTTGGGATACTAGAAAATTCAAGAGTCCGGTCACAACTGTCACACACATCTCGACATCTTCCCGTTACCCGACATCCAACATTCAGTTCTCTCCTTCATCTGCCAATGTCATCACAGGATCTGAAACCGGCCATTTGCACATCCTCAACCCCGCTACTCTAAAGCCAGAGCTTGTCACTCCTGTGACACCGGGGTCTCCTTTGATTACTGTTCTATGGCACGAAAAGCTCAACCAGATTATGACGGGCTCCGCCAATGCCGAAACACACGTTCTCTATAACCCGACCATGTCCACAAAGGGCGCAGCGACGGTCATGTCCAAGGCACCCAAACTCCGCCATGTCGATGAAATCGCCATCACTGCGGACTTGAACCAGGGATTGGCAGGTGACTCAGTGGTCGTCGGTTCCAACGGAGTTCCGCATTACAGTTCAGCAACTAGGTCTGCTCGTCATCCTACAGTCGGCTTTACAGCCTCTGGTCGCTCTCGGGATCCTCGCCGACCGCATTTGCCGGTGCAGACGCCGTTTGCCAAAAATACACCAGATGAGAAACACATCCTCGAACACATTCCACTCAGTTCGATGCGAGACGAGGATCCACGTGAAGCACTCTTGAAATATGCCGACCAAGCGGAGAAGGAGCCTATATTCACCAAGGCATACAAGGAAACACAACCAAAGGCTATATACGCGGAACTCAGTGACGATGAAGAGCAAGGACCGGAAAAGAAGAAAGCAAAGCGATGATCTGCTTGGAGATGTGTCCAGTTCACTATGGCTTTTTTTTCGAGCGACCCGTTGAGCTGGAATTCCTCAAATCCAGCTGCTTGTGCAATCTAAGATTTTTATCTAACTTTGGTTTCATAGGAATCCCAGGTGCTACCATAGCCAGCTCCTTACATTCGTTCTGGGTTGCCCCGTCTTTTGCTGCTCCATGACGATCCCCAACTGCCCGCTCGAACCACCAATGATAGTTGTGGAAAGAACCACACGGGCTTTGACCTCGCCCAACCGTCGCTTCTGAGTTGTTTGAATTCGTATCCACACTGTAGAACGTTAATTTACCGTGTAGGCTCCAGTGACCAAAAGAGACCCGTAGACATTGGAAGCTATTGAAACTGGCCCCGGGAGTTCCGAGGTTTGTCTAGTGCTGACATATCCGTTCTCTCCGCGGCGCGCCTCCACTCTGCAAGCTTACCCAAACCTCTTCGTACTCATCACTACCCTTATCGGTCGTGCTAATTCTTGCGCTATAAATTCAGATTTCACGGAACAGAATGCAGTCTCTCGCAACCTGACGTCAAATGCTAACCGTCGAATCTGGGGGCTCGTTTTGATCGGCCACACCTGCTGGAGAACTAGGGTGTATTAGGGGTGCTTGACATTCAAAAAGGCTTCCCCGCCAAAGCGCGTGATAAACAGCACTCGATTACTTGGATCGCATCATTACAGTCGAACGGATGGAATCTTCCCAGTTGTCGCTGGCAGCAAGCCTGCTGCCTAGTCTTCTTTCTTCGGCCATCACCCCGTCGATATCATCCACAGTCGCGGCTTCTTCTACCCACCAACTACTTGTTCCACCATCAAATTTCTCCTCGGAAACCCCCCATAACTATGATGGGGGTAACGGGGGAAATATGCATAAATGGTCATCGCTGATTGGAATTATTACGGCTTTGTGCGGGAATGTTTTGATCTCATTGGCGCTCAATATCCAACGCTACGCGCATATTCGGATCGCAAGAGAATGGGAGCAGGATAAAAATCGCTACGGGGAATACAGAAACAATAGAACCCGGGTTCGTTCAAGGGGAAGATCCCAGGCTCAATACCGAGACACTGAGCAGAATGATTTCGAACCTTATCGCGACGATGATGGCGACAACACCGAAGGGAGGAACACTGGTTCGAGCTCGCGGGCCACTAGCCCTGGAAGCAAGGATGGCGCATACGGCAACCGCAAATCCCACCTCAAGTCTCCATACTGGTGGGTTGGAATCGTGCTTATGGTCGTGGGGGAGCTGGGCAATTTCATGGCCTACGGGTTTGCACCGGCGTCGATTGTCTCTCCATTGGGAGTTGTGGCTTTGATATCGAATTGCATCATTGCACCATGCTTACTCAAGGAACAATTTCGCAAACGAGATCTCTGGGGCGTACTCGTCTCTATTGTTGGTGCCGCCGTTGTGGTCCTCAGTGCTAAATCGTCCGAAAAACAATTTGGACCTCATGAAATTTGGGCCAACATCACACGATGGGAGTTCCAACTCTATCTCGCATTGACCACATCGTTGATTGTCGGTCTCATGTGGGCAAGCCACCGGTATGGCTCGCGATCGATTTTTATCGATGTTGGGCTTGTTGCATTATTTGGTAGGTCTCTATCTAGCAATCTCCAGTTTTGGGCTGTGTTTCCTTTTGATCTTGTTGCTAAAAGCATTCAACAGGCGGGTATACGGCTCTTTCTACGAAAGGAATCTCTTCGCTTCTGTCTGGCACCTTGTGGCACGTTATTACATTCCCTATAACGTACATACTTGTCTTCGTCCTTGTCGCCAGCGCATTGATGCAAATTCGATACATCAATCGTGCTCTGCAACGCTTCGATTCCACGCAGGTGATCCCAACGCAGTTTGTTCTCTTCACTCTAGCTGTCATTGTCGGAAGTGCAGTCCTTTACCGTGATTTTGAATCTATAACGGCTGACCGCGCGACAAAGTTTGTTGGCGGTTGTCTGTTGACTTTCCTCGGGGTTTCCTTCATCACTAGCGGCAGAGTCCGCGCCGACGATGAATCGTCATTTTCATCCGAAGACGAGGAAGAGTCCATTGGTTTACGCAATGGCGAAAGGTATCATGACATAATTGATTTGTCTCCGTCTAGCCATCAATTGCCAAAGACAACGGATGTTTCCAGAGAAGCACCATGTGACGTCGTCCCACAGTCCCCACAGCGGTCTATATTGAGCCAAGGCACCAATGAAGTTGATGATAACCAGTCTACTCCTAGAGGCATTCTCTCCGCCGCGCTATCTTCACCTCGTGGATCTTTAATCGATGCATCTCCATTGTCTGCTCCGTCGTTTGACTTCACATCACCACTGCGGCCCCCATCTCGCATGTCCAACCCATGGGCAGACATCCAGGATCAGGGTGTTGGGACACCGCAGTCTGATATCCGCCTCGTTACTCCCCCTCTACAGGAGCACGAGACACCACAACCCTCGACAGTCCTGCTGCGGTTCCCTCCTGCACCTGGTATTGAGGAAGTAGCGGGGGTCAATGGAATCGCCAGTCCCGTACGACGTACTTCAACCCCCACGCTTTTAGACCAAGCCGGCCATTCTACTCGCAATGAAGCTCCCCTTGAAACACCATCGCGGCGCACTTTGCGCAACTCCATCTCTCACCGTTTCTCCCCTGGGCCCCTGCTTCCTACACTTTCCGGTGGCTTCACTGCCGTGGTTGCCGATTCTATCCGGCGTAGCGATGGTAGTCCTCTCAAAGATCGGACAAGGCGGAGATTGGGACGTCGGCGTCAACTCGACGGCGCTTTAGCAGATCCTTCTCTCGAAGGAAACAGTCATGCAGCGCTTTCACTTGCAACTGCTCGACTGCAGTCCGCCACCAACCTAGCGGACAGAACCGCGGATGCTGGCCGTCCGACGTCAGCTGTCCCGACAGGGATCAATACCATACCAGCGCCACTCATCAATGAAGATGTGACCCGTCTTCGCAGCTTGAGTGACTCGTGGAATGGTGGGCTTGCGTGGCTGGGTGGTGCTCTCCGCAAAACCCAGAACACCAAACCCGACAGTGTTGCTGCTACGGAAACGCCAACACCAGAAAATAGGACACAGCCTGAGCCAAGCTACAACACTGGTGATTCTGACACCGAGATAGAAGATCGGCGATAATCAACTCGAGACTCTCTAGCTACGATGCACAAACACCCCTCCCCCTCCCCCTTTTTTTTCTTTGATTACCCTCCTTTGGCGCTTTTTTCTCACATAGTTCTGTCGATATATCCTTGTAATTGGCATTGCATTCTGCTGGTATATGTTGAAGAATTGTCAATGTATCATTTCTCTCCTTTCACACTGTGTATACTTCCCCCACAAAGGAGGGTTTGGAATTATTAGCCACCCATCTTACCTTTAGCCTCTTTTCCTTTAATTTATCCATAGTGATCACATCAATCTTCATTCCCGGTTTCCGGTAGCATCTCATCCTCCGAATAGGACGAGCATCTCCAATAGATACAAGGTTTTACCCTCCATTTTTCAAGTCAGTTTAACCGGACAGCCGATAGTCCTTCCCCCTCAACCCCAGAACGCCATGCCAATGTGGGGCCGGGATATTGCTCCGTCTCCTGATAGTGCTAGCTCAGCTCAAATAACGCCAAGAAGGGCACTACTGCAGTCGTTGAAAACTAGCTTGGTCGATTTTGAGCTTCCGGTACTGAACACGGCTTTTTTTCCGATGCAAGATGGTATGGCCTCGTGCATTGCTCACATGCAATGCTGAATTGCCTGTCTCCACTGTGCAAGGGAGTACACTGCGGGCCTGCATAAACTTATATGAAGAGCTTCCCCGGAAATTCCTTTTCTTCGTTCCAATCCATTTAGATAAGCAGCGGTTTTTTTTTTATCGAAATGGTGGCAAATGTGTTTTCCAATGGGCTTCTGCTCGTGCAGCTCTTTGCTGCCCTGGTCTTGGGAAAAGCGGCCTCCAGTCCTCTCTACAAGGATGCCAATGCTCCCGTGGAAAAGAGAGTGAAGGACTTACTGAGTCGAATGACTATTGAGGATAAGATGTCCCAGTTGATTCAGGGTGGGATATTATCTAACTCATCACCACCGGAAGTTCTACTTGCTGATGCATTCTTGTGCAGGTGATCTTACGAATTGGATGAACCAAACCTCAGGAGAATTCAACTACACCGGCCTGGTCACCAACATGGAGACGAAGGCAGGCACATTCTATGGTATGAGGCCCTCTGTTTAGCTGTTTGATCCTGTTTCATCAGTCCACAGAAACCCAAATGCTGATGTTTTGCAGTTGGATACCCTGTTTCTTGGAATTGGATCTCCGACAACATCAAGAGAGCCCAGGACTATCTCATCCAAAACACCACTCTGGGAATTCCTGCAATTGTTCAGACTGAGGGTACGTACGCCGATGATGCAGTCTTCGGCTACACTGGATCCCGAGCTCACGATGTTTCTTGCGCCAGGTGTCCACGGATTCTTGGCGGGTAACGCCACTATTTTCAATTCGCCAATTGCCTACGGATGCTCTTGGAATACAGATGTAAGAGACTATTGTGCTTTCACCGTCATACCAGATGTTCTTGAGGTCTAACAAGATGTGGCGCAGCTTGTCGAAAAAATGGCGGAAATCATTGCACAAGAAGCCAAAGCACTTGGCGTCAACCAGCTCTTTGCCCCGGTTGTTGATCTTGCCCGTGAACTTCGATTTGGTCGGGTGAGTTTCATATACGTGTGAATACATTCAGCATAACGAAGCTAACATCAGTGACACAAGGTCGAAGAAACCTTCACCGAGGACACTTTCCTCGCTGGAGAATACGGTTATAGCTACGTCAAGGGAGTGCAAGGCAAGAACGTGTCAGCTATGGTCAAGCACTTTGCGGGCTTCAGTGCCCCCGAGCAGGGACTTAATACTGGCCCAGTTCACGGTGGTGAACGGGAGTTGCGCACAACGTTTGTCGACTCCAGGCTAAGAGACTGCACAATTAACTGATCATCGCACAGCTGGTTGCCTCCTTTCAAGCGAGCTATCATCGATGCCGGTGCTTGGTCTATCATGGCTGCATACCACTCGTAAATCCATCCTAGTACGCTTTGCCTTACATCGCTATTCTAACATTCATTTGTAGATGGGACGGAATTCCAGCTGTTTCTGACTACCACACTCTGACCGAAATCCTAAGAGAAGAATGGAGGTATGAATACTTCGTCATGAGCGATGCTGGTGGCAGCGACAGAGTGTGCTCCTACTTTAGGCTTTGCGAGAGCGATCCTATTGACATGGCAGCAGTTACCACACAACTGCTGAATGCTGGAACCGACGTTGAGATGGGTGGCGGTTCTTTGTAAGTTCTATGGAAATTTACAAAATGCAGCTACATACACTGACTACCAAATAGCAACTTCCAGAAAATTCCCGAGCTTGTCAAGTCCGGCAAGCTCGATGTCAACGTTGTCGACTCTGCGGTCTCTAGGTTGCTCCGGGTCAAGTTCGAAATGGGCCTCTTTGAGAACCCATACCCTGCTGCGCCTCAGAACGAGTGGCATAAGCTCATCAACAGCCCCGAGGCTGTAAAAGTTGCAAGAGACCTGGATAAGGAGTCTATCATCCTACTTGAGAACCACGACAACATCCTACCTCTGCAGAAGTCGAGCAACATTGCGGTCATTGGGCCTATGGCTGGTGGTCTCATGAACGTAAGTCAACATTCCTATTCCTCTCGTACGTCGGGATGTTAATGAATTTGGTAGTATGGTGACTACGTGGCCTACAGGAGTCAATACCGAGGTGTCACTCCCCTCGATGGTATCAAGGCCGCAGTTGATGACAACGCTCAGGTCCACTATGCCCAGGGATGCGACCGAGCGAGCAGTGACCAGTCAGGCTTTGAGGAGGCAATTGAGGCCGCAAAGAAGTCCGATGTGGCTGTCGTGGTTGTTGGAACCTGGTCGCGTGATCAGGGAGAACTCTGGACAGGGCTGAACGCAACGTGAGTAGCCCAAGCTGTTGTTTCAAGAGATGTCTAGAAATCTTCAGTACTAACAGACCCACAGAACTGGCGAACACGTCGACACCGACGATCTGTCCCTTGTCGGCGCCCAAGGACCTCTAGTCAAGGCTATAGCCGACACCGGCGTGCCAACAATTGTCATCTTCTCAAGCGGCAAGCCCATCACAGACACCTGGATCGCAAACTCCACCGCCGCCCTTGTGCAACAGTTCTACCCATCCGAGCAGGGTGGCAACGCCCTCGCCGACGTCCTCTTCGGCGATTATAACCCCTCCGGCAAGCTATCTGTCAGCTTCCCCCGCTACGTGGGCGATCTCCCTGTCTTCTATGACTACCTCAACTCCGGACGCTCCATAAGTGACGTGGGCCATAAGTATGAAAACGGAACTCTCGTATTCGGCCACTCATACGTTCTCGGTGACGCCTCGCCGTGGTACCCCTTCGGCTATGGCAAGAGTTATTCCACCTTCAAGTATGGAACTGTCAAGGTCGATAAAAGCGAGATCTCTGCGTCCGAGAAGACTGTCACTGTGAGCGTTGATGTGACAAATACCCATACTACTCGTGAGGGTACGGAGGTTGTGCAGGTCTATGTCAAGGATGAGATTGCGTCTGTTGTTGTTCCTAATCGTCAGCTCAGGGGATTCAAGAAGGTAGTCATTCCTGCTGGAAAAACTAAGACTGTCAAGATACCTATCAAGATTGAGAATCTTGGTCTCTGGAATACAAGGATGAAGTATGTTGTTGAGCCTGGTCAATTCACTGTCCTTGTGGGTAGCAGCTCTGAAGATATTCGTGGTAACGCTACGTTTGTTGTTCGGTGATCATTGAAAGGTTTGTGACGAAGAGAAATTAGTTCCAAGTACCTCTTCTGATGTGAATCTTGTTTCGGTTGGTCGATCACTGGTTGTGTATATCTTGCGTTATGTTCGAACGATCAAAGACATTCCAATATCTAGTTGCATTCTCCTACGCCTTCGCATTCTGACATTACCTTAATCAACAACGACTATGCAACCTTGGCAACAGCGTTGCGTACACTGTATATGGACACGGTGTAATGATCTCTTCATTCATCTAACCTGCCAAGGTTATAAATCCTATCTGGATAACTCCATTAGGGGGTGATTAGATGTAAAGTCTAGTAGTTACTAAACTATTCAATGGAAACAAACAATAATCAAGTGGGACCAAAGCTTCACAAAATAGTGTCATGGGTATGTTTCATGAGAAAGAGGACAAGCTATAAAAGAACCGAACGCTGTTCCCAATCACCGAGAATGGATTTCGCGAGCCTATGCCGGGTTATCACCTGCAGCACGAGACCCTGCCTGACGAGTAGAGGAACCTTGACCGGGATCTGGGGATGACGAGGGTTCCGATGGCTTGCTGGCACTGCTCAAAGGTGGATTGCTTTGACTATCACCGGAGCGACCCTCCGCTCTACGAGTTTTGGCACCCTCTTTCAATTTTTCCCAGCGGTCCCGGTATCGCCCAAGAACGGTTTTGAGCTTTTCGTTCTCATGAGCAGCAGTCTCAAATTTCTTCTCACTACGCTGAATCTGTTCTTCCAGTTCTTTGATCCGCGCATCAGCATCAGCCGCAGCCGCAGCCGGCGGCGCAGTCAGCGTTGCAACAGGAGAGGTAGTGGTCGTTGAAGGCCGGAAATGATCGGGCGTCCCCCCGCTCTGGCGGTGCATCATCCTGATTGATTGCTGCAGCGCCACTGACGAAGATTGCGCGCTCACCTCCCACATATGCAATCGTGTCGCAAGCGAATCGGTCAAACCTCTCAAGGTCTCATTCTCTACTTGCATCTCTTCCATTGTCTTCTGTGTCTGCGGAGTGGTAAGCTTATTGGGTGTAGCACGGCGTCCCGCCCATATGCGTGAATCACTGGCACTGTGGCGCATCTCAGGAGACGAAGGGGTCTCTCGCGCATCCACAAAGTCATCATCACCATCCTCGATGCTGTTTCTGCGTACCTGCTTCTCCACTCGGGTGAGAATTCCTGCGTAGGACATAGTTCCACCAGTGGTCGGGACTACATAGAATGATTCTGCTGGGTTCCCGGGACCTGCCCCAGAGCCGTTCCGAATCGACCGCAATGCAGCTCGAGAGAAGAGTTTGTTCACGTCGGGCTCACCCACGGTCATCGAATGGTCTAGAACAGTGTGCTCACGGTCAAGTTTTACTTCGGCTGAGGACTTGCGGCTTTGTTCAGCGCGGAGAGGATCCGCAGATCCCATTTGAATCCCTGCGAATGCCAATGGCCCCGATACCTTGGAGACAAGTCCTCCGAAGGCGGAGTAAAAGCGGTTGAATGCTTCGTCGGCAATTGCAGACTTATCTTTTGATGCTCCGGATTCGGCTGCACTGGGGGGTACGGTTTGCTGGGAGACCACTTCAGTGGAACTAGGTGTCGGAGGAGACCATGGTTGTTTAGGTGCAGAAACACGACTGTGCCGGATTTTGGCTGGTCCGTCCCGTAGCCTTGTTTCGCTGGCTTTAGCTCTAGGTGGTGTTTCTGTCATCTTTGCCGCAACATGCTGCGATGTAAGTGTGGGCGACACTGGCGATCCACGTCGGGGCTGCGACGGAATTCCACGGGCGGATGCTAGGTTACTAGCGATAGAGGATGTATCCCGACTTGGCAGACGAGTGTTGCCCACCAATCTTGGTGGAAGGTGTGCATCCTGGTTCGCGCTTGCGCTCTTTGTGCTCCCAAGCTCGGCTGCGGTAAGTTGGGTTCCTACAGTCAAGGAAGCAGTAGTAGATGTCGATTCAGCAGAGGTAGTGGGATTTTCATGCTGGAAACGGAGGATTTCGGCGAGTTTCTTGTGGTGAGTTTCGAGCAAACGTAGGGTCCGCAGGGCCTATGACGCGTTAGCTCAGAGCCGAGCGGGGGGGGGAGGGGGGGCAGATCTTCTACTCAATCAAGACTCACTTCATGGTCGGAGCTACTCTGCGCAGCGGTTGCAAATTCACCAGCAGCTAGATCATGCTCCTCGCTGGCGGCAACTGGGTTGGCCTTGCGAGTCTCTAGCACTGCGTTCCGGGCATGAGTGTGGGCCTGGATACGGTCAGATAATCTTGGAAATGAGGGACTGAGGTCTTACCAAGACCAAAGGAGCTGCTTCCATAGTGACGACAAGTTCACTTGCAGGAGTTAAGAGAGAAAAACCAGGTGCACTCCTTTGAGGGAATTTTTTCGGGGAATGTTGGAGAAGTGACGTTATGCAAAGTGAATGGGCTGGGGTTTGAAGAGTTGCAGGGTACACCAGGGTATACCAGGGTACTTGAGAGACATGAAGGCATTGAAAAAACAGAGCAATGCTCTTCGATCAAACTTCTATATCACATGTTAGACTCTACACTTGTCTTGAGATAAGCTGGAAGCAGCGAAACGTCAAGTCGCATCCACATTCCAGTGGAGAAGCGGAGCTGAAGCATTAGATGCCTTTTAGCTATACCCCTTGGTCTATGAAGAACAAAGGAAATAGGGGGAGATAACAGACATCCTAGGAATAGGAATGGTGATGAAACCACAGACGTATTCCTACAATTAATATCAATCTGAATAAATTAATTGAACGGCTACAGTCTCAGTCTTGGGCCCCCGTTATAACTTGGCGGGTGACTAAGTTGCGGAGCTCCAGGGGATCGGACAATTCAACACGTCTCTCTCTTCTTCATCTTTGTTCTTCCGTCAATGTACGGAAGTTCTCTCGCCTGAAAAAGAACAGAGAGAGAAGGCCTTCAACACATATACCTCATGTCAACTTTCCCTTGAGTCTCCTGGTCTGCCTGTACCAACACCCCCCCCCCCCCCTCCCCCGATTCCTACTACCTCTACATTCTTTCAATTATGGCCGACTCTTCGTCTTCAAGCGTGAGAGGCGAAAATAGATCGCGCCGCTCCTGGACCTTAACTGCTGAATCAAGCGCACTCGAGAGCAATGGTCGATCATCACAGGATTCCAACCTCGAGAGACCGAAAACCCAGAGCGGAGAAGCAGATCCCAAGGCTGGTCCTAGTGGATTCTCAAAGCTACTCGATGTGCGTCGTAGGCGAAAAGAAAGTAAAAAGAAGAACCAAAAACCAAATGACGAGTCAGGGGTGCCGACCGTGGTCTTAGAAAACGACCTACATGAAAGCCGGTCCGACCAGTCTCGGGATGGGACCTCCGCAGCCCCATCGTCGAATGGAGAGAGCTTTGCGCCGGAGGCGGAGGGTGATAACAATTGTCTATTGACCGATGATGAAGAGCCGGACGGGTAAGTTGAACAACCGGTCTTCTTAAAATCTTGGACTACTCCTCATACGCTGATCTTTTTGCCACCAACCAGACCTCCACCTCTCACCTCGCACAGCTCCCATGCCGGATTCTACACCTCCTCCTCCCCAATGTTCAAAACCAGATCGGTGGATGCCGCAAACACGGAAGACTCTCATGCCGATGCCGAGTCAGCTCTTAGCGGTCCTAGTGCTCCTGGGTCAGAATTAATCCCGGGCGAAAGAATATCCCGCCGCGCAACGTCGGGCATGGCATTGGATATCCCCGCAGATCCAGATAGCAAGAAACGCGGTACATCCCCTGGACGACTCTTCAAAGGCGCTTTCGGCTCGGATAAGAAAAGCGCCAATGATGATCCTGAGGCTTCATCAGTCAAGCCTGGGGGCACCAAAAGCGGGCGGGGTCTGTTCGGAGCCGGCCGGCGGAGCAGTCTTTCAGTGAAACGAGCACTGGTAGCCCCCGATGATGATCCGTCTGTCTTTGCGCCAATTCGTACTGATCTAACGGACGACAAGGCTCGTTCACTTGAAGCGAGCCCCATGCCGAACACCCCCCCTCATAGTGCTATTCCTGCGCCAGCGACAACTGTAACCCCACCAACACCAACTGAGTACCGCCTTCCCAGGGCGCATATCCTGTCTAACAATGCCATCGATTCGCCCGAGTCTTTGCAATCTGGAGATTCTCCGTCTTCTGGAATCACTACCGTGAGCCCCTCTGGAAATATGATATCTCACCGCCGGGTGCGGTCCGCGTCTGCAGCTCATGGACCAAGCAAGTTGTCCAACTCAGTGTCGGCACTGACTCCTCTTGAGGAAAAAAACTCTGGGGTGAAGAATGCGCCTGCAACCCAGCAAACTGGCTTCTTCTCCTCAGTCTTTTCAGTTGCGCAAAACGCCGCGACTTCCTTCAGTAACAGCATCAATGCACAACAGAGAAATCGTCAAACTTCTCAAAATGTTCTTTCTGATGCCGAAAAATCTCTCAATGAATCCACCTCGGAGGAGGGCGAAAGAAATTCAGATAACGGCAGTAGAATTGCCGAAGGGAGACCATCTGCTGTAGAGACTCTTGGGGCAGGAGATTTGGACTTTAGCCACCTGGATATGGATGCACGGCCCGGTGAGTCAATTACGACTGCCGACGGCGTGGTGATCACAAAGCCAGGGAACCCCGTTGACAAGCGCAAAAACACAGCTGTTTCTCGGCGAGATGATGAAGCTGCCAAACTTGAAGACAAACGCGCCGCGCGTGCCGTTCAAGTAGCATATGCAAGGCCTTCGGATGTTTCCTTGGCCGGCCCCACAGACGACGCCCTGGAGATTCAATCTACCCGCTCACTTCCGAAAGATGGCCCAATTGTGGGTGATCAAACTCCCCCTAATGGTAGCGTGGTTGATGGTGACCTGGGTGGTGGCCCCAAACGCACTGGCAGTGGGCGCAGTAAACTTGCCCAGCGTCATCGGGGCTCATCTGGAGCCACGACCTCAACAACCGGCGCGACCGGTGCCCCTGGTGGCAATTCCAGTGTACCTCGGTTGACTGGCTTCGCGGTTGCCAGCAAAAAGCGCAACCGGGACTTTCACCAATTATTTCGGAGTGTACCTGAAGACGATTATCTTATTGAAGATTACAGCTGTGCTTTGCAACGTGAGATTATTCTTGCCGGACGCATCTATATCTCAGAAGGGCATATTTGTTTCTCCAGTAATATCCTAGGATGGGTCACGACTCTAGTGATCAGCTTTGACGAGGTTGTTGCAATCGAAAAGGAGAGTACGGCTGTAGTGTTCCCCAATGCTATTGCGATTCAGACACTTCATGCGCGTCATACTTTCCGCAGCTTGCTCAGTCGTGAGTCCACATACGATCTAATGGTTAACATCTGGAAGATCAACCACCCAACTATTAAGAGTTCTGTGAATGGAAGTCGTGTGACCAATGGTACCGGTGATAAGACAGAGAAAGTCGGGGAGGAGGAGAGCGAGTCCGAGAGCGATGTCACCGAAGAAGATGAAATCTACGATGAGGACGAGGAGGGAGATCATGCCGAAAGCTTCTTTGAGGCCGGTGACAGTGCCAACGCCAGTGCAACATCATTGCCAGTGCGAAAGGGATTAAGCCGTAAGGCATCGAATCTATCCGCGAATGCAGCTGTGCCAGTGGCCGGCACAAATGGCAATGGCGACAAAAAGAGCGGCGACAAAAAGAACGGCGACAAAAAGAACAGCGACAAAAAGAATAGCGACAAAAAGAACGGCGACAAAAAGAACGGCGATAAAAAGAACGGCGACAAAAAGAACAGCGACAAAGCCGCTTCTACGGACGCGCCTGCTGATTTCCCAGGTCCAGCTACACACGAAGCCACCGAATATGGTGACTCCAACGGACAGTACGAAAAAGTCATCAAAGAGGAAATCATTTCGGCGCCGCTCGGCAAGGTCTTCTCTTTGGTCTTCGGCCCAGCGTCCGGCGAGTTTATGACCAAGTTCCTTACCGACAACCAGAAATGTACAGAGCTACAATTTGAAGGAACGGCAAAGGGTTTGACGATCGAAGCCCCAACCAGAAAGTACTCATACATCAAACCTCTCAGTGGCTCCATTGGTCCGAAGCAGACAAAATGTATCAGTACCGAGACCATGGATTTCTTGGATCTTGAAAAGGCTGTCCTTGTTACTCTGAGCACCCAAACACCCGATGTGCCCAGTGGGAACGTTTTTGCTACCATGACCAAGTATCTCTTCACATGGGCTCCGGGCAATCAAACTCGCTTCCTCATGACCTGTACTATTGAGTGGTCAGGCAAGAGCTGGCTCAAGGGTCCTATCGAGAAAGGCGCAATTGATGGACAAACGACCTTTGGTAACGAGATTGTCAAAGCCCTGCAGATTGGAGTCGTTTCTCGCGGGCGTGCCAATGGCGCCGGACGAGGCAAAGATAAGCGCAAGAAGGACGAAGGCGCAGGGCAGGAGTCGCCCGAAGCTGCCACGGTGGCGGTTGCTGTGGATCCTAAAGTTGGAAAGGAAGAATCGTGGGGACTATTTGAACCAGTCCGCCCCCTTCTGGAGCCTTTTACCAGCATTCTCACTCCGCTGTGGAGTAGCAACTTCGCTCTCTTAGTTATCGGAATCTTGTTCTATATGGCATTCTTCCGATCCTCGCCATCGCCGTCCATGCTTTCGCATGAAGTCGGCTGTCCCGGTCACGGTCTGCCTCAAAGACTGGCTGCATACGAGGAGATGTGGCGACGTGAAGAGACCGAGCTCTGGAACTGGCTGGAAGACCGAGTTGGTATGGACGGAATGGTCTTTCCAAATGTTTACCGATCGCCCGAGCCCTACTCAAGTCGCAGGCCATCTAGGGCTAGTGCAAGTGATGAGCGTGAGCTCGCTGCGCGCCTTCGGGAAGGCAAGATCTCTGACCGTGAGATGGATCATGCCCTTCGCACCACCCGCGAACGTCTCGATGTCCTTGAGGAGATGATGGTAAAACGCAAAGCCCGGTGGGAAGCCGAAGAGCTAGTCAAGTCCGAATTGTGATCGACATCAACGGTTGCCCCCTATTGCACAAAACACCAACCAACCTCCTCTCTTCCTATCCTCTAATCTTTCGAGACTTGTCCCTTCTGAGTTGAAGTCCCGGATTTTCCGTTCCCGACACTCAAAACTTATATCCTCGTCTTCACAACTCTTGTTTTATTCTCAACCATCTTGTCAGTGTGGTATTTTGGAGTTTGGGGAACAAGCAGAGCTGTTCCCTTGCTATTGATACTTGTCCCTCCTCACACTCATTCTGAAAGCTCCACACTCTTTATCCCAATTCCTCCTCCCCATGTCCTTCAACACATGGGCAGGTTTTCCTTGCATGTACATGAGCGCCAACTATCTTGTCTGCACCGGTCTACGAGCTACCGGCTTCATATTTTTTTCCTCTTCTTGCTGATTGTTTATCTGAGCGTGCTGGCTACTTATTTTCTTTGCCCCATTTTGTTTTTTTTGTTTTGTTAATATCTCGAGCTAATGCTATGTGATTTACATTTTAAATCTAGGCCATGCCTGACAGCCCTTCTTTATCTTCGTAATTACTGGTCGAGCAGAATACTACCTTAGTTGCATGAGGGGATCAACCTCGACTATGGAGAGCGTTGAGGCAGGATTGAACCGAAGCACTACCTATGAGTTGATTTTTGCCTTTCAACAAATGTTGGGATTTCAAATTGATTGGCTTTCATTTGAAACCGGTTAAGCACTTTCATTTTTATTGGGACTGCCCACGTACCTCCTGGTTAATTGTCTAGTCACTTCCCCGTTGATTGCGTGACAAATGCCAGCAACCCCTGTCTATTTCCTACAATTTTCATCCTCGCACTAGGAATATTGGGGTTCAATTCCTCACACGAGACACCACTTTGAGCGATTTGCGAGGATGAAGACAATAAGACACTTGATGACGCGCTCGTTGACTCCAGTTCGCAGACAACTCTTGACACTCCCTCCCCGGGAAGATCTTCTCGCCAAGACCAAATGGTTGATGAAAAGATCTGTCCTGGCTATGATTCCACAAATTTTTTACCCTGCAAACCCGGATGAATTGCTCGCCCACCGCTATCAACTTCTAGTCAAGGTCGGCTGGGGTATCTCCTCGACAGTGTGGCTTGCTCGTGACACAAGGGGGTAACCGCTACTTTCCGAATTCCAACTGGTCTGGATATATCTAATGAATCCAGGCACAAGGAAGAACCGCAAAGCGCCGTAACGCTAAAGATAATGAATACGAATCCTGCTCAAGACGTAGCCCATGACGAACGTCAAATTGAGGACCACAATGCAAACACAGATTCATGCCACCGCGGTTATGCATTGGTTCGACCTAATGTGGATTCTTTCGAGGTCGTCGACCCTAAAGGAAAACATCTATGTTTGGCGTATGAGCCCATGAGAGAACCCTTCTGGCTTTTTCAGAGACGTTTCAAGGATCGGCTGATTCCGCTGCCGATTGTCAAGACGTATCTTCGCTTTCTTCTTGCAGCCCTTGATTATCTTCACACCGGATGCAGGGTTATCCATCCAGTTGCTTAATTATCTCACTTGTTCAGAGCTTTCGGCGACAAGGCTAATGGGTTATCTTCGGATCTGAAACTTGAGAATATCATGGTCTCCTTTGAAGGTCCGACTGTCCTCGGAGATTTTCTGAATTTGCAGCTTGATCAACCAATTCACTGTAAGATTGACTCCGCAGGCCGACCTATATATCGCAGTCACAACGAATTTGGCCCAATAAGGAACATGAGGAAAATCATTCCAAAAATCGTTGATTTCGGGGGTGCCACGACATTCAATCACGAGGGCCAATGGGGGTTGTATCCCATCCAACCGGATCATTACCGTGCACCTGAGGTCATCCTTGGCTGTGGCTGGAAGACGAGGGCTGATATCTGGAATCTGGGAGTTCTTGTACGTCTAGCTTTGTCCCTGTTCCAAACTCATCTTAGTGCTATTAGCATCCAAGCTCTGGGATAGCATCCAAGGAACGGAACTCTTTTGCCAGGTCCACGATGCGCATGGTCGGTATTAACCAAAAACTCATCTTGCAGAAATGATCGCCCTACTCGGTCACCCTCCCCTAGAGCTGGTGGCAAGAGTTCCCTTGATGGAGTATCAATGGCCGGAACCAGTGAAAACTGCAGACGGTGTGACCTATGACAGTGCAGAGGAATATTTTGGCGGTCCATTTTTTGATCAAAAAAGGTACTTGGAACTTATCCTGTGTTTAACGTTAGATTACGGTCTTTGCATGCTGCTAACACACTCAAAATAGGGAAATACCTGTGCGAGGACTTCATCCCCGATCGAAATCTTCGGGACACACTTCCCTCGCTTGAAAAAGAGGAAAGAGAGAATTTCTTATTCTTTGCAATGATGATGTTGACCTGGCTTCCGGAAGAGAGAAAGACAGCCCGTGAACTGATGGAGCACCCGTTCCTCCACATACCGAAGAAATCCAGCAAGTGATAGAGATCCGGCAACGAAAGAGGAATTTGTGGAGATCCGCAGTCTGAATGGTATGGCATGCTTCCCAGAGTAGGTAGTCAACTATGTACCACAGTGCCTGGCGAGATATAGGCCAAAGATCAAGTCGCTCAAAACTAGCTATGGACATAGTATCGGAGATGTGGACCTGGGGGTTCAAGACCTAATTTCTTCCGACTCTGATGGCGTTCGATCAACCTCCTATTTCTTCACTAATCACAAGGTTCCTGACCCTTATCCCCTATATTTAAAAACAATGGAAGGCATCCAATTTTGTTGAAATCAGGCTCGTGGAATATCCACGAGTTAAATGGTAATCTAATTGAATGTCGAAGATGAGCAGTAGATCGAAACTTGTACGCTTGAGGATAATTCAACTTCCAATTCCGGATCTTGGCTGAAAAGATCCATCTCGCTGCTCTTCTTGCGTTTTGCGCTGTATGATGGTGTTGTTCTTTGGCAGCCTGGTAGTCTGGCTACCAAAGGTATCATCTTACTCGTCGTTGCTGGAATATTCATCCTTTGTAACACACTTGGCGTCAGCTTCATCTTCTTCCGCTTTGTTGGAGTTGATAGCACTAGCATCTTCTAGGGGTCACAGCTGGATTATCGTCGTCCCCAGCTTGATGATAATCATTTTCTTCGGCTCGACTTCTGCTTTCCTTTTTCGGCTTTCCTTTTGCCTTAATTTCCGGTCTGGTCCTTGTCTCTGGATTGCCTTTCGTCTTCGTGTCTGGCTGCTTCTTTGCTTCTGGATTTTTGCATCTTGTTTGGTCCACCTGACTAGTTTTCCTCTTAGATGTGTTTCAACCATCTTGATCTGTTCGAGGCCTTGCGATCACCAGATTGGTCGTGATATGAACTTTTTGGAAGCCAGAGTCTTCCCAAATGATTCAAAATGATTCAATCGCATCTTTGTCGGCGTGGTCGGGCACCTGAGCGTCAGCATCAGCCTCAGCCTCGTATTCGTCTTCCAGATTAGCATCAGCAGGACCTCACCCACCAGTATCTCCCTTGTCTAGGCTTTCCTCGTCAGCTTCGCCTACATTGCCAGTGTGGCCGATCGTTTGCTGCTTGTAGGGAGTTGAAGAAAGGCGTGGAAAATTGAGCAGACGAATGCGGCTTAAATTCCCGCCTTGCAGGCCAAGATGACCGATTCAATCATTGGGCCACAGTATATACACCTGAGGACATTTGAATCCATCCTATTGACTTCTTTTGCCTTAATAACTCAACCTGGATATCTTGTTTTCCTGTCCGGTCGCAGTCAGAATTTCAACTGCTAGGATGAACGAAACAAGATTGGGATCATATCACCAGAAACGACAGGCATCACCATCATACACATCTACTAAAGGCAAAAAAATGGGATCTCGAATATCGCAACTAAGGCAACATTCATTCTATCTCAGAGAAATTTGACTAAATGCTAATCTGGAAGTCATGAATATTGAATTGGCAAATCTTTTAAATGCGCCTGAGCTTAGAAACAAGCAAACGAAAGCTTTTGACTGGTACAATCTAGTCAAATATCACAAGAAACGTCTTAGAATCCTAACAATGGTGATCCCAAATAAAGGATATTATGTGAGAGACAAAGAATTTCATTGCTACGTTCTGGCTGAATGCTGCTAATGATCTGTAATGACTTTTTCTTTTCTTTATTTCTTTCTTTCTTCTGACTTGTGAAATTTTCAACTTCTCCATTGTAGGTGTCCCATTTGAATGACCCTAAAAGCCCTTACTCCCACGCCGGACCGCGTCCCTTGGTGCTTTGTCTCCAGCCGCGGTAGGAGATGTCTCGTCCACGGCTCTGGCTTCGGTCTCTTGCTTCTCCATAAACTCCCCTAGTAAGATCCTCGGTAGCTGAGACACTGGGCTTACGGGACTCAGCGACCAAGACTTTGCAGTAGTAGATGAAAAGCTGATAGTCCACGGGCCGCCCCAGATTTTTCACTTCCTCTTGAATGAACGGAACCTTTAACACTTCTCCATGCAACTCTTGTAGAAGTCGAATGAGCGCAAAGTCACAAGAGGGCTCATGGTCCTCTGTCTTCAGACGGTTGAACTGGTTCTGGTATGCCATGATGAAGTCCACCGGTGTGGTAAACTCCTCACGTT